TTTTAATATTTGGTTTTAGCAGGTACCCTAACTTTGTGATAATCGGTTGCATGTAAAAATTTCATCATCAAAAAGATCTCCTAAGATCAACAAACCTGAAGCGAATAAAATTTCAATCAGCATTCTATTATTCTAGATGTTTATTTTGTTTATTCGTTTGTTGGTGTATTTAGAATGGACCTAGAGGCAGGCGCGGATCCAGGGGGAGGGGGCGATGGGCCCACCCCCTCCCCCTCCTGGCCAAAAAAAGAAAGAACAGAAGAGACGGGCCCCCACCCCTGGCACTGAAAAAGTTTTTAAAAAAGATGGTGACCACAAATTTACCTTTTTTCTCAAGTGGGGGGGGGGGGGGGGAGTAAAAAGAAAATGCTCACTATGCCCCCCCCCCCCCCCCCCCACTGAGAGAAATATCAGCAGGCGCGATTTTCAAATTTCCCGCAAAAAAGAAAGAAAAATGTTAGTGCTCATGGAATGGGATGTGACGTGACGGGATGGGATGTGATTATTTTTGTAGGTTCCAAGTTTTCACGTGAATTTTTAATATTCTTATTCCTCTTATGTTTAGTATAACAAAATATTCCTGGACAATGTGAATGAAGTTTCCCTACTAAATACAAATTCAAACCACTTCAATGGCGTAGATTGATAACTTGAAGTGGATTTAACTCCATAAAGAGCGACCTAATATGAATCCTAAAACGGTGGATTTCCACTATTATGCAGTATTCTTATACATGTGAGTATAAAGAATGATCCGGAAAGGGGTTCGATTAATACGTGGAGTAGCGGTTACGTTTGTCGAAGGTCACGTCCAGATTTCCTGTTTTTTCCTTCAACATGTTTCTCTCCAAGGGCATCAATCCCTAGGGGACAGGGGGGACACGTCCCCCACGAGTTTTTCTAGGTGGGACATCATATCAAATGTCCACCCCCCCCCCCCCATGTTTTGTCAGAAAAGAAGAGGGACCACCAGGAACAACGATTTTGTATACGAAATCTCACGAATTGGCAAACAAAATTAAAAAAATTAGTGCCTCTTACATCCCCCCCCCGCTAAGTATTTCCTGACGAATTGGGCACTGAAAAAAAAAATGTGCTCTCGTTTCATAAAACTTCTCACCAATAACAATTTCCAAAATGTTATGACAAAGTTGCTCTTATAGACACGCAAATGCAATGATTTTAGTAGCTCATAACATTTATAATAATTTGTTTTTGATAACACTAGCTTTAACCGGGGGGGGGGGGGGGCTGAAACCTCACGTGCTAGCCTCCCCCCCCCCTCCTTTCATAAAACCAAGGAGGTACCAGCACCTCCTTGTTAAAACGGAGCACCCAATATATACACGTATACAGTATCATACCCCCAAAACAAAAACATTACATACTAAACTAAAGGAAAACAGGAAGAAGAAAATGGGAAAGAATAAAACGGAGAAAGAGAGGGAGAGAGAAAGAGATACGAGTGTATGTGTGTGTGTGTGTGTGTGTGTGTGTGAGAGAGAGAGAGAGGGAGGGAGTGAGAGAAAGGGAGGTAATTCTTAGACAAGAGAGAACTTAAATGAAGTCAGAATAGAGAGAGAGAGAGAGAGAGAGAGAGATAGAGAGAGAGAGAGAGAGCACAAAAGATAAAGATAATACCATAACATCTAAACTGTCTCTTTCTTGAGTCTATCTTTCTCATCCCATTCTCTTTCTCCCTTCCTTCTTTTTTTACCTCCCTGTTTTCATCTCTCTGTTCGCTTTCTCTTTTCCTTTCCCAATCTTTCCTCCCTTAGCTATTTATTCATCCACATCTCTCTTTATCAGAGGGCAGGGGATGCAAACATTAAGCATAGATATTAATTTTAAATGGGGTATGTTATATTAAAAGAGAAAAGTAAATGAGTCCCTTACATCAGTTATGTCTCTGATATCATATAATCTTGTCAAATATTTCATACTTTATTTTGTAGATTGTCAATAATATCAATAATCATAGAGAAGACGTTTCCTGGAAAATTAACAGTACTGAAACATTCACAACATGTATCAATATGCAGCCAGGGTGACATACACTACAAAAACAAACAAAAAATTGCACCATATTAAGCGACCAAAAACATAAAGATACAAAAGGAAGTACAATAGTAAGATTACAAGCGCACTCTTTTATAAATACTAACTTGTAATATTTTCAATTTCCATGATTTTCCATTTTAACAATTGAATCTGAACGTGAAGCATGCCAAAGCAGAAAGATGGTATACTTCGACATTACACCATCTATTCATAATCTAATACCATAAATGGGGAAAACCCTGTTCTGAAAGTTGATAACGTCACAGTTAAGTTCTACTCAGCCATTGATACTTGGGTATTTAATTTCAATTCAGGAAAGTTTGAACATGTATAAGAGAATTACCATCAATTAGAAACGAATCCAAAATAATTGGAAACGAACCATGGACATAATGTAATTTATATGAGTAGAATTCACAAATGTGACAAAAACTGTTATAAAATGTTAGCTTTATTTCATAATGGTCTTACAGGCAGTATAAGGTTATACTAATCTGAGGTGTACTGTACTGGCAGCAAAGTTGTAGAAGATTTGTGCTACTGCATATTGACATTTTCTCCCAAAGGTACATGTAGCAATCACACACATGTATACATTACAGTGACCATGTTCTCCAAAAGTAAAAAGAATAATGATACATTTTACATAATGATATAATTGTCAACAACACAAATACATGTAAATAAAGATATAATTGCACAAGCCTTCGTAACTAATAATACACTGCATAGGAATTTATTATATTAAGTTCTAGGATATGTAATTTTTCTTTTACTTAATATGCTTCTCCTCTGATATAAATTTATTTTATGTAGAATAATATGAATTCTTATAATATGCTGGTAATCCTTCTAATACACTTCCACTATATAATTATAAAATGCATCATTATCGTATCCTATACTTAGGAAGGACCTGATCTATAATAATGTATATTTTGTACTGCTTCAATTTCTATGTTTATTATAGCTTCAAAACATACTTTAAAATATCTTCACTAGTATGCATAAAGATAGGTAACATTTTACTTACATTAACACATATTGTAAAAAGAACAAACGTACATTTGAAATAAGCTCATTAGCACATAGATGATCCATTTCTTCATTTATATGGATTATGGAGCACACAGTGGAAGAAATAGACAAGAGGATATAGCAGACTGCATGTATACAGTTGAATACCATTATGCTGATAAATTCATAATTGTACTGAAATTGGTAACAGGCAAGATCAGTTCCTCGTAATTGTTTGTTTAAAATTACCATAGCAAATACATGTTCATGTATGTACATTTGCCGATTCTTTAGATTACCTGTTCACTTCACCATGTGGCAAAAACACAATGTTTCAAAATTGTCCATGTTTCAGTGCAGCTCTAAATATTCCAATCTTGTAATATTTCAAAGAAAATAGAACACATTTCCAACTTCTAACAAATAAAGCACAGATCAGATGCCAAAAAGGATTCCCTTCCGTGTTCTGTTATTCTTCTTGAATACATGGTATATGGTATGCTGCATGATCCAACATCGAACTACGAATTTCAATATTTCACCTGACACTGCATGTAAAACACATATTCAAAGTAATATAGAGTATTGGAAATCACTTCTTTTTTTTCTACTGTACATATACCTGCGTGGGCAGACCGAAAAGAAAAGAAAACAAATTGAATTTTCCTCTGGAGTACTCATATATCTGAGAAATCAAAATTTAAAGAGAAAGTTGAGTTCTGGGAAGAGGTAAAAAATAATTTGTGAGCATTATCATTGTTATTATGCAAGCGTGGAAGAACATCAGATTAAACATGTTTTTTGAAAGGCATGGCTCTTCAAATGCCTTCATATTCTAAATATGACATGAAACATCGTAAAAATCGGGGGTAGGTTTTTATCGCCATGTGCTCGTGTAGTCCCATATACATCATTCTGTGTACAGTGCTTGTAACTTTGCCAAGATTTGGCCAAATTTCTTATCATTTTGATGATTCCAGAACCTTGCAATACACACGAATACATATATACTAGATGATCAACCTTTTCTGGCAGATTCCACAACATTTCTTTCACAATGCAATCACATGACCAGAACTCAACTTTATCTTTAAGTGTTATTTTTTGTTGTCAACATTTTCCATCACAAAATATGTCATGACTACTTTTCTAAATTTAGAGTATCTATAATACTTGAACCTTGAAGTTATCCTCTCATCATCTCTTGTAGATGAATGACCTAAAGAATTTGAAAACTAAAACTTGTTATGGGTTCAATGTTAGTCTAGAATCTGGCTTGTTCCTATTTCATATCTCTATTATATTCCCAAATGTAGATAGCGTTATCAACAAACTCGTACGCCCAGCCTAAGAACCACATAAAAATTCTGGTATCACATCATTTTCGGCTTGCGGGAAGTAGGGGGAGATCGTGCAGTGGTGGAGATTATTAAAAATTAAATCAGCCAGATTGTTGACTAGTTTCATGTCAGCGACTGGTGAGAAGATACTACTTGATGCACCTGCATGTGTTTGCATAGAATAGGGCCCACATCAAACTTAAGTGCAACTTGGGTTCCCTTGGGTATTATGATTTTCTTTATTTCATCTTAAATACTCCCTATCCCATAGAATGCCAGATTAAAACAAATTCAGCTTGATTTTATGCATTCTACATGCACACAAATTATTTTCTAGGTAATTAGAACACTTTGAAATCATCAACTTGTCAGTTATCTCCATCATTTCAGTTCAAGTTTTTGTCAAGGACAAATAGTCCAAACAATTACTGTTGTTCAACTGTGGCCATGACCTGTATAAGTATGTGGAGCATGTCAGAATCATGATACATTTAAGTGACAATGGTGAATTTGTATCTGAAAGCTCTCACACACCAACAAAAGAAAATTCTTATAATGCCATATTTTAGTGGTAGCATGGATTTGTTTCAAAGCATAATTCAGGGATGCCAGCTAGAATTGATCAGAGGCCCTGAAAATCACTTAGAATAAGCTATTTTGTATTAAAAAAAGCCTATACTATGGTCTGAAAATAACTCACCAGGGCCTGAATTCAGGCTATTGCCTGAAAACTGGCATCCCTGATAATTCATAGAATTCAGAAAATTTCTAATTGAAGTAATGAGATTTTGAAACTACTTTCAATGTAATATTAAATATGAGTAACAAAAATATTGACAAGTTTTAAAAGTAAGGCAATGCTGTTCACACTAATGCCAACTTAGTCATACATGGCAAAATAAGGCAAGACTACTCTTTGCAAAACATGATTTGGAATATAATTATGCAGCCCTGAGCAAAACTTACTAAATGCAGACAACGTTACGTTATTGTGTCAATGATAACTTGCGTATGATTCAAAATAAAAGTATAAAACCCAAGTCAGAGGAAGACAGATGAAGAAAGGGAGGTAAGAGAATATTTGTTTTCTTTTCATCTAAATAATGCATAGAGCAACCACCTATGGGACTATACTCTTCCTGTTGAGTAGTAGTAAATGAGAGAGAGAAGAAAAAAAAGAAAACAAGGGGAGGGGATAGATAAAGTATACATATACATACATAAAAACTAATAATTTGAAATAGATCGAGAGAGAGAGAGAGAGAGAGAGAGAGATGGGATAGAGAGAGAAGAGAGAGTAACCTGGCTACAAACGAAAGAAGTATAATCTCCAATAACAAATTGGGCACAACAGAAGTAAAGATAGTAAAGAATATATACGTTTATCTATACTTAATAATCTAAAGGCAATATAGGCTACTTATTTCAGGCTTTTATTTCTACCATTTACTTCCTAACCTACAATTACACCTTTGGTTATAAATATTCATCATCAGATTAATCTAATATTGACATGTACGCATAAATATAAGAAAATAACAAAGACATAAATCATCAAAAGAAATGGTGAAAAACAATATATATTTAGAATTGCACATGACATAGCCATTTTTTGTGACTGTCTATACACCTCTGTAACTGTGGTCTGTCCACTTTGAAGCACTTCTTGTACAGCAACTCCATGAATAGGTCTTCCTTGTGTAGCAACAGAGCCAGCGCATCCCCAATGTTCTCTTCCGCACAGCTGATGGAGCGCTCATACGCGGCATACTCCGCATGATCCACAGGGTCCATCTTGGCGGAGGAGGAGGATGTTGACGTCTTGGGACCAGGAAACGAGCTAGCACTTGAGAAGTCCTTCAGGAGGAGCCATTCCTTCTCCCCTTGCACCAAGGGTTCTGTATCCGATATGTCCTCACACATCTCAACACCGTTAGGGCTCTCGATCCTCTTTACATAGTCCAGGGTGTGTGGTGTTGTATAAGACACCCGGCAACAACCTCTCTGCAGACATTCTCTTCCCAACGTCAAGATAGATCTCCTGTAAAATGGAAAATTAATATGTCAAGTTATACTCATAGTAATAACAAAACAACAACAACAATAATAAATTAATATGCTGTTCTTGTACAGTGCACATCGCAGTATGATATAACTTCTTTATAAATGTTTGCTTTCAAAGGACTTTCAATATTGTTGACACAGCTTTTAGCTCCAGCCACCCTAGCGTTCAGTGCATTAGATCCACCTACTACACCTAGGTTGAGTGTGGCAAATGTAGATTAATGTTTTGTCAAAGGATAAAATTGCAGCAGCAGGATTCCAACCCTGTACCTTGTGGTTCACAGTCTGAGGACTTATCCACTAGGCAGCAACACATCTACATGTAATATTGCTTTCCATAATGACAGTGCAAGTTGAAGAGATAAAAATACTTTTTTTTTATCTCTTTTATTTTTTTTGTATCTCCTTGCCAGTTGACATATTTTAGGTTTTACGTCGAGGGGTCAGTGACACAAAGACGCAACTCCATTTTGGCCATTTTGAGAAAAAGTGGTTTAAGTGTCACTGAGCACTTGGGCCTTAAGGAGTTAAGTCTACGTTTCACTAGCCATTGACTTCAATGGGGTTTTGGGTGGAGTTAAGTCTTCGTGTTTCCTGGAAAGCCCACATTTTTCTGAATATTTTGATATCAAATACTTGATATGCTCACTGCTTAAACAAAGTGAACCACTGACCTGTGATACCAGATAGCTTCATGACCGGGGAAGTTCTCTATGAGGTTTGAAGTGAAGACCAACTCTTCATGGATCATCCTAAGTACATCTTCATGAGGGTGATGACATGACAGGGACTTGATAAGAAAATATCTGTAGTTGAACCCACTGTGATCAGATATGTGCTGTTTTACCCAGGATTTGGTGCTTTCAAGTTCCTTTAGTAATACCTGAAGAAGATTATAATATCAATTATCAGAATTAAAATGTATTTCCTGAATGTTTTATTGACAAGCTGCTGGTACAACAGAGGGTAGCTTATAATGTCATCTGTGTATGTTTTGTGATAATAAAATCAAGTCAATCACTAACATACAAAGTCTACTAATACTTCTGATGTTACTTGAACTATTGTGACTCAAAATAGTAAAACATGTAGATGTCAGCATAGCAACATCAGTCTGTCACAAGCTTATGATGTATTGATCTGTAATTGACAGCTTTCATTCCGGTCTCAGTCCTGGTCTTTGGACCTTCCTTGTGGACTACAATTTGTATTCAATCTTCATGGGAGAGAAAGAATTTCACTACTAGTGAGGATATAACCATTTTGGGGGTCATTGATACACAAAACATGCTACCGATATTAATACTAGGAAATGCAGCAAAATTCTTACATACTTAACACATTTTGAGATGGTTAGTAGCTACTACAGTCAAACCTGCTTCAGTGACCACCTGTATATAAAGACCACCTCTCTACAAAGACCACATGTTTTGTTTCCTTTGAAAATAGTTTCTCATTGGAACATGTACTAAAGGAACCCGTCTACAAAGACCACCTGCCTATAAAGACCCCTTTTCTTGCCTCCCTTGGTGGTCTTTATAGAGAGGTTTCACTGTATCATCATCATACTGGTAGTATACTCCCCCATAATCTGCAATCATTTGCCATACTTACAAAAAAGAATACCACAAGTGACTTACCCCTGTATCCAGTCTGGTTATTTCCTTTAGCACCCATATCCTGTGGCTCCAAGCATTGTAATTACTTGGATACCTATCAGCTGCTGCTCTGCAGGCATCCATCTCACGATCCACCACCTGCCGATGTCTCTCCGTCAGCTCAAAGGCATCAGCAGGGTGGGATGCGCTCCCTGCGGGGTGCGCTGGAGTGCCGTTGGAGTGATGCTGATTGTGGAAGGAGTTGCCGTTTGCTTGTTGTGCGGTGGAGTGGTGATGGTGGCTTGGTTGCGTACGTTTGGAAGATGATGTTGATGTTGATGACGGGAACAGCTGTTGTAACAGCCATCTCCTATAAATAAGAGAAAACATAACATTGATTTGGTCTGACCTGCAGAATTTGATTTCTAAACATCATTGTTGCTTTAAATTACTATTTAATATCTAAACAAGTAAACATGAATTCTCATTCATAAAGAATATTCAAAATTTACATTTTCTAGATGTATTTCTTCACAATAACTGTCTATCTTAGAAAGCTCTATTACTCTGGCTTAAAACTTAACTGCCAGGTGTGTTTAATAGAGGTGGCTAAGAATATATCAATACGGTACCTCTGAATGAAAGTTTCTGGGCTCTTTGGATGTTTGGTTTGGATTAGTGTTGCCAATTTGAGGTCATCGTCTGCTTTGATATAACGTTTGGTTACCAGTTCCTTCCTGTTGAAAAATAAATATACAAAGGTAAGAGTACACGTAGATCAGTATTCAAATTCCGGACAACAGAAATATTGAATTCACCAATAATCATATTCTCTAAAAAAAGTATGATATCAAAATTACAATTAACTCCTATATATTTATGAAAAAATAATCGAAATTTAATATCCTTTTAAAACATAGACGTATTCATACTCATTAAGGCTTAAATAACAAAGAGGTTGTTTAGATGCAATGGCTCTACACATAGACTCTAGCAATTAATTGTTATGGAACTGGGTGGTCCCAAATTTTGAAACAATCTACATAGAACCAACTAACTTGCCCTGGAAAACACTTCTAGCTGGCCTACCTTTATCAGACAAAGACAAAAGTTAGTTTTGTATTTTTAACCCATTGCATACAGGAGCTGTGTGGCCCTTGTATTAAGCCTATCAGAATTAGAGAATTAAATTGTCAATAGGTTAACAAGAGACATTAGAAAGAATCTTGAAACTTACCTCAAGTTCCATACTGTGTAACAGTCTGGATTGAGTAAAAGTACTGTGCAGCTGAATTCATGTAAAGATTTCAAATCTGCCATCAAGCGCCAAAGAAAGAGAGAGAAAGAGAGAAACACAAATAGAAATTAATGTATTCAAAAGTTACTTCATTACGTACAAAGAGTAAATACATTGTAGGCCAAAGCAATCCTAATATAAGACTGGACAAGGAAAGCCGTTTCTAAAAATAGGATAAATGTAACTCCATGTAGTAATTGTAGTTCATCAAAGTCAAGGTTTATGTAACACCAGGTTCGTGCTTCAATATCATGCATACAGTCAACAAAGGAATATAAAGACAATAGTAATTGATTTACTGTTTCACCTTTAATCTGCTTATCCGAAGGGTGGATAAAGCTAAGGCATGAGATATACTTTTACAGATAATCAAATAAACAAACATAATATACTTAAGGGCCCACTACGATTTATATTAATAAGACCGGTCGTTTATAAAGAAGAAGAAGATTGTCCGCTCATCAACGAATATGGTACATTGCTATCAAACGCGTATTGTTGGAGAACAATAATTAATTCAGGATAGCGTTCCCTATATGATCATTGCTGCATAGCGTTCATATAAGTCAATTTAAATATGGAGGCTGTTATCCAATGGACAGGGTTGATATGGGATGGAGTTGCGTGATCTCTTCAAGAAAGCCGAAGATTCGTTTCTCCGCAGTGAAGGGCTATAAAAGGGAGCCTGCACCAGTATACGTCTTCCCCTCACAATGTTCAGAAGCAAAAGAGAATGACCACATGTTTGCAATGTCCAGATAAGCGGACTAAAGATAACATTCCAAGGAGAGAGGTGGTCAGAGAAGAGAGAGTGGAGGATAGAGAAGCCTATAGGGTTATGTGCATAACAGGTGTATATCCCCACACAGTAGAGAGAGGGGAAAGGAATCGGAGAGAGATGAGAGAGAGAGAGGGGCAACTGTAGTTAAATGAATCAATGCTGAGGGAATGATGGCCATACTATATAGTCACACTTTATGGGTGTTACACTCTCCCCCTCCAACCTTTCACCGTCCCGGTGAGATATAGACCAAAGAAAAACAAGAATTTAGTTCAACAAACTATTGTTGTAGTTTTTTTCTTAATCCTCCTTTATATACAGTTATCAATGTCCTAATAACCTCTGCCTAACATAACTGAAAATCCCTTTACGTTTCGGCTTAGCATCAACGGATAGATTAAACGGTTCACCCGGGTTATAGTAATTCAGCCTCGTTGGTGCTATGGAAGGCCTAGTTGACTTTCTCAAGTCACTATGTACAGAGTGCGTTGGTGAAGGAGAGTCAAGGTTCTCACTGATGTCTTCATGGCTCGGATTACCCTCTGCGTGGTGGTCACGTGAGGCTGGGTCTGGGACAACAGAGTTCGTCTGTTCAGCTGTTTCGTTAGAAACTGGAGAGTCGGGTGTGTTTGGAGCTTCTCCAAAAGTAGAAGAATTTGCCTCTTCAGGTACTCGATCTGAAGAAAAGGATTCAATATATTCAGAAGCTTCAGTGGAGGGAGACGCTTCTACCTCTTCTTGAGAAGGCTGGGAGTCCGGAGAGCTGATAATCTCAGGAGCTGTCTCTTCTACCTCTACAGCTGGCATGTTATCCACATCAATATCCCTCTCAACAGATGCTTCATCGATCTCCTGTGGACCATCAAGGTGCAGCTGTCTAAAATCCTCTATATGGGGAACAGTAGTGTTCTCAATCTCATCGTTCTGTACCTGATTACTAGGCGTGAATTCCTGTGCTTCAGGCCTGAGGTTATTCGCTAACTGCTCTGTACTGCCAGTCAATACATCGTGGATAGTGTCTACTTCAGCTACAGGTTGTGGATCCAAAGGTGTCTGGTCCTGACGAGAGGGTTCTGGCAGATAATGGAGAACAGAAAAACCATCACTATCGGAATCACTGGTCACATAGCTAGAGGTTTGTGAACCTTTCCGAATGGGCCGGCCTTTCTTTCTCAAGCGCTTAGGGACTGATCGGGGTGGTAGAGGATCAATATGTTGTTCTTCCACCTGTGGATCAGGTCGTCCTATGGGGAGGAGTAGATTACGGTGCAGCGTCGAGACTCTACCACCAGATTCTGATTTGACGTTATACACTGGAAGAGAGATGTCGTTTTGGCCTACCACCATATATGGTTCAGCCTTCCACCGATCCGCAAGTTTGTGGGGGCCTTTCAATCCGAAATTCTTCACGAGCACCCGGTCACCAGTGTGGAGTTCTCTGCCCCGCACTTTCAAGTCATACCGCTGCTTATTTGTGGTTGCTGCCTTCTGTGACGCTGTCTTGGCGGCTTGGAAAGCCTGCTTAAGTCCTGCCCTCAACTTTGATACATATTTGACATGATCTATGGCGTGACAGCCATCTGGGCGAGTATCAAACTCCACATCTATCGCCAACCGAGCCTCCCTTCCAAACATCAGGTAGTATGGGCTGTAACCAGTGCTGTCCGTCTTGGTGGAGTTATATGCATGGACCAATGATGCCACATGTTGGCTCCAGTTTACCTTTTCTTCATGCTTGAGTGTGCCAAGCATATTCAGTAATGTCCGGTTAAAGCGTTCTGGCTGGGGGTCTCCTTGGGGGTGATACGGAGTAGTGCGGGATTTCTTGATGTTGAGAAGCTTGGTCAGCTCTTTAATCACTTTTCCCTCGAACTCTCGTCCTTGATCAGAATGGAGTCTTTGCGGCAGGCCATAGTGGACGAAATACTTTTCCCATAGCACTCGAGCGACTGTTCGCGCTGTCTGATCCTTGGTTGGGAATGCCTGGGCGTACCTCGTAAAATGGTCGGTGACCACTAGAATAGATTTGAAACCCCTGGCGTCTATCTCCAGTCCAAGAAAATCCATACACACCAGCTCCATAGGTTGGGTGGTTTGTATGCTGTGAAGTGGGGCGCTCCGTGTGGGGAGGGTCTTGCGGGCTTGACATCTCCTGCAGTTCCCAACCCATCGTTCAATATCTTGTGCCATCTTAGGCCAAAAAAATCTGGCACGAACGAGGGAGGATGTTTTGTCACTTCCAAGGTGTCCATGTTGGTCATGCAGGCTCCGTAGTGCATCTTGTCGATGAGACGTTGGTAAGACGAGTTGAAATATAGTCCTCCCGTCCCGGGCTTTCGACACTCTGTGCAGCACGCCCCGAATGAGTTTGAGCTTTGGGAACTCTCGAACAAGAATTCTCTCATCGGATGATTTGGGGGTGCGTCTATTCGGCTTTCTACCACTCTGAACCCAATATTTTGCTGCTTTGATTGCTGGGTCAGCGTCTTGTGCACCGGTCCAGTTAACCTGGTTTGCCATACTGCTAACCTTTGGGAATTCATATTCATCTGGCACTGCTTCTGCGCTCATGGACAGGCAAGATACCAAGGCTTCAGGACTTGAATGGGAAACTCTTGATTTCGTGGCTGCAGACACTGACATCAAGACTGAGTTGGTAGCTTCGAGATCAATGATTTGGTCTGGCTCACCTAGATCCTCTTTGAGTCGTGCTGTCAGATATCTCAGGTCTGGATATTCTTTAGGTTGTCTGGGTTCAGGTAGTCGAGATAAGGCATCAGCATTGGCGTTTGCTCGGCCTGGGCGGTAGTGGATGCTGATATCAAAATTTGCTAGTTGTGATACCCAGCGGTGTCCAGTGGCGTCAAGTTTGGCTGACGTAAGGACGTAGGTCAGCGGATTGTTGTCTGTAAACACCTTGGTTCCCTTGGCCATGTACAAGTAATCGTTGAATTGTTCAGTTACCGCCCACTTCAGTGCGAGGAATTCTAACTTGTGGGCCGGGTAGTTCCGCTCAGATTTGGAGAGACCTCGACTAGCATAGGCTACAGGACGCAGTTGACCATCACAGTCCTGGCAAAGGACTGCCCCAAGTCCGTCTCCACTTGCATCCAACTGCAGGACGAATGGCTTCTGCAAGTCTGCAAATGCCAGCACTGGGGCGCTTGATAAGGAATCTTTCAACTGATTGAAGGCACTGGTGCACTCTGTTGTCCACTTATCTCCTAATGGCTCTGATGGTCTGAATTTCCCTTTCGTCGGCTGGCCCTTCTTTGCAACTCCTGCAGTCAAGGAATGCAGTGGTCGAGCAATCTTGGAATAGCCCTTGACAAATCTCCGGTAATAGCCTGTAAAGCCGAGGAAAGATCGCAGTTCCTTCACAGTAGTTGGAGTTGGCCAATCTTTGAGTGCCGCTGTTTTGCTTGTGTCTGTCTTGACACCCTCATCAGAGACGACATGTCCCAAGTACTTGACTGAGTTACAGCAAAGCTGACACTTCTCTGGAGATACTTTGAGTCCATATGAAATGAGACGGTCTAGGACTTTCATGAGGCGTGTAGTCATCTCCTCTAGTGTCTTTCCGAATACGATGATATCATCCATGTATACCAGGGCTTCCTTGAGGTGTATTCCAGTCATGCACTGCTCCATGAGTCTCTGGAATGTGGCTGGTGCTCCCTTGACTCCTTGTGGCATCCGTTCAAATTGATAGAAGCCTACCGGGCAGATGAAGGCAGTTTTCTCCTTATCTTGGTCAGCCATAGGAATCTGGTAGTACCCTGACTTCAAATCAAGCACGGAAAACCACTTATTACCACTCAAGGCATCTATTGCTTCTTGGATGAGTGGTACAACGTATTGGTCGGGTACGGTTCTCGCATTCAGTTTCCGGTAGTCTATGCAGAGGCGCAACTTCCCCGTCTTTTTCCTGACAAGGACAATTGGGGATGCGTAACGACTACGAGACTCTTTTATGATGCCAGCTTCTAAGAGTTCTTGAAGATGCTCCCTCAGGTCTTCAAGGTCGGCAGGGGACACTCTTCTGGATCTCTCCCTAAATGGCGTCTCATCGGTCATTCGTATCTCATGGTAGATCTTGTCTGTCTTACCCATGTTTAGGGGATCATGACAGAACACTGCAGACTTGTCTTGTAATATGTTCAGGAGCTGCTGCTTATCCTCTGGAGATATGGGACCCCATGTCAAAGGCAAGCTTGCCACATCAACATCATTTTTGGCGATTTTATTGTATATGGCTGAACAGATGGGATTTATCGAGTCAGTTGGTTTCCTCTTGTATGTATGGTAGCATTGGCGGAACACTCCAGAGTTGGTTCCCACAACAACAGGATGGTCTTTGGTGTTCCGATTATCTGGGATGACTAGAGCTAGTGTAGAGAATGGCTTGTCGGTGCCGGTGAATTCTAACTCAAAACTGATATCTATTTGAGTATACCCAATATACGGTATTTGGCCTCCACCACCGTGCCACAAGACCAGGTCCTTGAGAGGGTGAATGTACTTCTCCAACTTCTTACACAGGCTTTCTGGTATGAGGGTGACTTGCGATCCACTGTCTAGCAAGCATTGTAAAGGGTGGTTGTCCACAAAACAGGGGTAGGAAGCACTTTCCCCAACCAGACCACTCGGAATGTCATTTCCTGTATCCTCCCTTGCAGGCTCATGTTGGCTGCTCATTGACGTGGCGGGTATGTCTTGTTTGGAGCTTGAGTGGACTCGGGCCCCAGACGGCTCCGTCTCTGGTACCCAAAGGCGTTTCCCTGACTGAGACAACCGATCAGCTTCTGGTTGACTGCAGCCAGGTTAGGGGGGTTTGGACACTTCCTGCGAAAATGCCCGTCTTCCCCACACTTGTAGCAGAAGTTAGGATGTTTGTTTGTGTCTGGGGTTTGGAAAGCATTCACAACTACCGGGTCCTGAGATGTCGCCCCCCTGTCCCTCATCTGTTGCTCCAGCCTTGCAAGCCGCACCTCCATGGCATTTGATGGTTCTGTAGGGCTTTCCACTACTGCTTGGAGACTTCTCCCTTTGACGGGTCTCCTCTGTCTCTTCTCTGCGACCTCCACTTCATATCGCCTCACCTGGCTTAGAAGGGTGATGAAGGAGGGTGGGTCATGTAAGAGATCCCTAAGCCTTAAACTCACTAGGAGCATCTCATCATAGAGACTCCGGATGAACTTCTGCAGCCGGAGGTAGTCTGCCCTGTCCGGAGGCGCTCCTCCCTTTCGTACTGCCCGTCTCAGGGTAGAGTTCAACCGCATGATGAACTCTGAGGGTTTCTCCTGATCATGCTGCGCCATGTCGTGAAACTTAAGGAGTATCTCCTCCCCGCTCTCGGTGGTGCCGAATGCAGCTTCAAGGGCTGATATATAGTCCTCTGCGGATGCCTGCAGCTTGCTTAGCTTCAGATCCCTCACAATGGTTGATGCAGGGGGTCTGAGGGCTTCGCTAATTCGCCGCCGTTTTTCTACCTCTTCAAGGCCGGCTGCTGTCCACTCCTGCAGCTGCCCTTCTGCCTGATCAACCCACAGGTCGAAACCATCTTCGTCACGCGATGGCGAGAGAGATCCTGAGAAAGGCCTCAGCTTTCTGTAATTTGAGTGGAGGCTCATGTTGAAAAAGTCTTTCATCAGGCGATGATCCTGCCCTTCCCGAGGCATTGTTCCTGGCTGGTGGGAGAACTCTGGGACTCGCGATCGAGTTGCACTCCTCTTTTCTCTAGCTTCTACTAGTGTTACTCTTCGCCTTGTCTGTTTTGTTTGATGAGCTAGCAACACTAGATGAAAGGGCGTGAGGGTTCCTCTTATGGGCACATGTATGTCTTGGTCGCGTAGGGTGACCAGTGAAACCTTCTGGTCCAGCTCCAGAAGTAGGGCGATAGAGGGTGACTTGCAGTGAGGCTGTCGTTCTAGCACCGCTGCACTCTGCACACAGTTCACTACTTCAGAAATAGCACATAATAACTCATCAACATCAACAGTAGTATCATCCACCTCATCCCCAATGAGGAGGACTGCCATATCTAAGGCAATATCCTCTTTCTTGCATAGGGCCCTAGCTGGCTCTAACAAGTTTGCTTTATATTCGGCCATTATATACTACAAAATAACCTTCACTGGTACTGGCTCCCGAAAACAAGTGAAATAAAAAATTGCATGTAAAATTGAACGAAAAAAATAATTTAGCTTATAAACATTGAGTAACTGTATTATTCAAAGCATAAGTCCTGGCAAGGTCGCCATTTGTAACACCAGGTTCGTGCTTCAATATCATGCATACAGTCAACAAAGGAATATAAAGACAATAGTAATTGATTTACTGTTTCACCTTTAATCTGCTTATCCGAAGGGTGGATAAAGCTAAGGCATGAGATATACTTTTACAGATAATCAAATAAACAAACATAATATACTTAAGGGCCCACTACGATTTATATTAATAAGACCGGTCGTTTATAAAGAAGAAGAAGATTGTCCGCTCATCAACGAATATGGTACATTGCTATCAAACGCGTATTGTTGGAGAACAATAATTAATTCAGGATAGCGTTCCCTATATGATCATTGCTGCATAGCGTTCATATAAGTCAATTTAAATATGGAGGCTGTTATCCAATGGACAGGGTTGATATGGGATGGAGTTGCGTGATCTCTTCAAGAAAGCCGAAGATTCGTTTCTCCGCAGTGAAGGGCTATAAAAGGGAGCCTGCACCAGTATACGTCTTCCCCTCACAATGTTCAGAAGCAAAAGAGAATGACCACATGTTTGCAATGTCCAGATAAGCGGACTAAAGATAACATTCCAAGGAGAGAGGTGGTCAGAGAAGAGAGAGTGGAGGATAGAGAAGCCTATAGGGTTATGTGCATAACAGGTGTATATCCCCACACAGTAGAGAGAGGGGAAAGGAATCGGAGAGAGATGAGAGAGAGAGAGGGGCAACTGTAGTTAAATGAATCAATGCTGAGGGAATGATGGCCATACTATATAGTCACACTTTATGGGTGTTACATTTATTTCTGTCAATATGCTCTGCATCACAAAGGCCTACGGTATTCTGAATATCTTATAAAACTATAGACTACGTTTTTTTGTTGGTTTAATTCAGCATCATTACAGTGTACATATGGAATCAGTCAAATTTGACTATTATCACTACCTATTTTATACATTTGTTTTTTAGTATGAACTTTAATTATAAAAAACAATTAATTCACCTCTCTCTGTTATCATATTTATTTGTGTGTGTGTGTGTCCCTGGATAAATACCTTTCACTGCTGCTGTATTCTTTAACAGGTTTTTGTAGACAAAGTTGAACAGGAGTTTAATGCTCCATGTTTGCAGACCAAGTTTATGATTCTCTAGCACCACAGGACTTCTATTCACTACAGGCTCAGGACAGTAGATGAAGTCAAACTCATCACTAGAAAAAGAAGAACAAAAAATATAAAAAATCAGGACATCATCAAGAAATGTTACATTTTGCAACTATAGCAATTAATGAAAATTAACACATCTTAAGAGTCTAATAACACCTGGTCACAATGAATCCAGGTAAAGTCTTGGACCCATAAGGATAGCAAGATATACAATAAAATCTTTATGGGCTTTGAGTCTGAAAAAAGTATAGAAGGATTGAAAGTACCAACAAAATAAAATTAGGTGGGGCAAGGGCAAAAATCAGAGAAACAGTCTAATAAAAGAAAGTTCAAGAATAATCAGAACAACAAATGTTTTCAGTTTATAGATTTGAAAACAAATGTATGGGGAATTCCCCCCTTACCATTTGGTCACCACAGAATAAGAGACATCAATAGTCTTGGTCATAATTACACATACAGTATACATGTACATACCATTCCAGACATTTTAAGTGTTGAAAGATTTTTAAAAGCCTGTCTTATGTCTTATTTTTATGGAAAATCGGTCGGTATAATTCACTGTTAGTGAGTGTTACTGTTCAATAATAATTAATATAGACTATCTAGGTCTAGGGTGTCGCAGAGGGATGCCTTCAAAGAAAACCATAAATATCTTTGTGGTTTGAGAATTTGTTCAGAATTTTTTGGATGTTAGAGGCTAACTTAGAGGGTTAGTACATAAGGGTTAGAAACATATCATCCACAAATAATGCAATTTTTTCAACAACTTTCAACAATGTTACAATGAATAGAATTTGACTTTAGTTTTGTCTAAATATTAATGCTGGTTAACATTTAAATTTAAAGTTTCAATTCGCTTGTGCTAAAAGTAAAGTAACAAATAATGACTTTGTAATGAGTTACAAATAGTAGTCTGTATGTTTAACACCTTCTTGTAAAAGTAAAACAAGTGCAATTTCCTTTAGGATCCCCCCCCCCCCCCTACTAGTACTAAGCTTAGTGCACTGTCAGTGCAGTGTCACCATATTATTAGTCACCATCCATCCACACAATAAAAAAGCGTTCAAAACAAGAGAGAGAGAGATCAATCAGAGACCAATTCATACATTTTAGGATCTCGTCGAAGAGCACTGCTTAGATCCGCCAATATCCTCCTCGGTCGGCTATCATCTCCCATAATTCACATCAGAATAGAAGCAAAAGTCAGGGGAGAATCCTCAGATTAGTAGCACAAAATTAGTCGGCTAGCGCGCGCTCTCTAACTCCTATAATACAGATAATAGTTATCAGACACAAAAAAAGACAGAAATAGGAGTCTTCGCGTGGCCAATTTAAAATAACAATAATATTGTTGCATAATAATATTAAGAGAATCAATTTGAAGAAAAAAACACTACAAATTTGAATTTTTAAATTATTTTATTGTAATATATATTTCTTGACAAGATTTTAAACTCAAAAAAGCACAAATTTATGCCTTATCAATTTTACAAAATTTGAAGTGATCATGTATTTGATAGATTAGGTATACCGATATCGCTCGCGCGATTTTAGTCTCCTAATTTTCGGTGCTCCTTGAAAGAGATCGAGAGGTAAGGGAACACCATCATCTTTTTAACTAAGACTTACGCAAAGATAGATTAATGCTAGGTCTAAAGCTCCGTACAAAGTGACTGAAATTGCACCATTTAAACTTGTGACAGATTATCAATTATATTGACAAACTTGAAAGTAATTTCTGTTAGTCACGATCATGCGAGAAGGTGCCAGCGCCAGTGCAGTGCGAAGGCCACAGCTGCCTAAGCCTAGGCGGCTACGGACCCGTTAAATAGTCGGGTTCTCGATAGGTTGGGGTCGGCGGGCGCGGGGCTTTTAAATTTTAAGTTTAGGCTTTATCGTTAGCTATTCTTTCTAGTTATCCTTTTTGTCAGCAAAACTAAAAGCTTTCTTACACATTTACTGGACATGACACTGTGAGTAGATAGAGGCGCTGGTCCGAGAATAAGAATTGTCCGCATAATCGAGGATCGTCTCCGTAAATGCGGACAAATTTGGTGATCCGAAAAAGGATTCTGCGATGATGCTCCTTGATGCATTTCACATTCACCTTGCGCAGAGAGACTTTCACATTAATATGAACGATAAATTCTCAGAAAGACGGACAACCCCTAAATTAAACTAGTCTAGATGGTGAACTGGGGATATTTTATTACGCAAAATCTGTTTTTCATACTGACAGGACGCGAATCGGGAACCCTTCACCCGCAGAGCGCTGAAGAAAAAAAAACGACTGCGAAAATGCAGACGATTCTTATATTTTAGGACCCGATTTGTCATCATTCTTGGATCGTGGATCTTGAATTCATTTCCTCCTAAATACTCCAAAGAAGAGTTTTAACTGGAGGAGTTTACGAGGATATCCTCGTTTATGCGGACGATCATTATTCTCAAACCAGCGCCCCTACTAGTGGAAGAAGAAATAGACCTCTTAATTAATTTGACTTTAGAGTTTAGATATATATAGATCTACCAAGAGTACCAGTTCAACATGTCTACTAAACTAAAGTTAACTTAAATGTTATCTTTTTATTGTCTTACTCTTTAATAATAGTCTAACTTCTAGTAATAGTCTACTCTACAGACCAACTTAGTTAGCTTTTTCTATATTTTAGTCTTTACTATATATAATTTTACTAGTTTCAGACATGAGCCCAGTTTTAGTTTTCCTTAGTTTTCCTTAGTTTTACTTCAAAAAGTTTAAGGGAATGAATCAATTAGGCCAGCCAAGCAATGATTCAATGCCAATGTCATGGCATTGTCACTTGTCAGTGTCTAGACAGAAATAATTATAAGATGGGTAGAAGAATCCCTGCAATCTGATTGATTAAGTTTACAGTTCAATGTGCACTGACAATTTTTTTTTTTAAATTTAAATTTCATGATAAGTTAAAAATCATGCTTCCGGTAAAAAAATCATGCATCCGGTAAAAAAATCATGCGTCCGGTAATAACCGGACGCATGATTTTTCCATGCATCCAGTAAATCTGTAAAATAACAGAATTTTGTATTTTTGACAATTTTGGGGGTCCCATCTTATAAAACAGATGATGCACAGGTTTAATTCGTGGGTCTGTGTGCATACGGTACCTTTGAATTTGGTCTAAAACCATTCAAAGGTACCTTGTGCACACAATCCCTACCGACGCACTCAAACCTGTGCATCATTTGTATACTGTGTGGTGGTCTATGAGGTGTTCTGTAATAAAACTTACTTTTGTCAACCTTCCCAAATATTTAGTACACATATGGTGACCCTTGCTGCACATTATCAATTCTGTATCTATATTGTATTTTCAGGAAGTCAAGGATCATGAGCTCATCACCATGGGGGGCTCCCCCTCCTGCTAAGAATCAAGGGCAACCATTTTTTCCATCTGGGCAGAGCAGACCCCCCTTTCCACCATTTATAAATCAAGGAGCACCATCGAATCAGTACCAGAGCCAACCTTCAAATGCCCCTTCTTACACCCACTTCCCACCAGCACCTTCTGCATCTATGGCTCCTCCAAATGCTGGAGTTGGGCGTGGTTTCCATCCCCCTCCCCAGCCTCCTCGGTTTCCATCTATGCCTCCTCCGCTGCCATACGGTAATCGGTTTGGGGCAAGCGGTCAAACACCCCACATGACACTACCCCCTCCTCCATTTCCCGTTCCACCTCAACAGCAGCAGCAACATTCTAGGAGTGATGGTAGAGATCATCCGGTCAACAACACGATGTTCAACCCCTCGCTTCCTCAAACTGCTCTTCAGCCTCAAAATGAATGGTCAACGAACTCGTCCCCAGCGGGTCAAGGGCATGGACAGTGGAACCACAGAGGAATGGAGAACAACTATCAGCCCCAGGGTATGAATAATAGTACCCAGAACAAATTTTCACCGCACCCGCAACAAGCCAGCAGAAGACACATCCATGGAGACTCCAACTCAGGACAGACCAGGCTCCAACCCTATCAGTCATTTAGGAATAAGCAAGCAGACGGGAGTCACCATAATTCTTTTCCAGGGAAAACTAAAATGGCACCAGGAGGCGATGGATTCCATATTGCTGACCTTGAGCAGAGTATGACGACAGTGGTTGACCAGCCGGAGAAAGAGGAGAGTGAAGATCAGAAGTGGGTCAATCAGTGGTCAAGATCCCTCAAAAAAGGAGGAGACGAGTCCAAAGAAGCAACGAAACCAATATTAAAGGTATGGGAGATTCCCAATAAAATAACGCTCTATATACATATTCATGAACTAAAAAGTAAACCAAGACAGTTTTTCATAAAATGATATTCAAAGATAAATGTATATTAACTTTCACCTCTTTAAAATTTATCTGATTTCTCCGTCTATTTCTATTTTTCTATCTTGAATAATTGTATATATAAGACAAGAATGTATCAAAAAATGATTGATGGTCATGTTACCTGCTTTCATCATTTCTTTTCATAATTACTTTCAGGGTACATAACTGAAAGTAGAATAAATGTTATTATAGGATGGAATCTATATTTTTCTAATTTTGTGATTGGAAATTTGCCCTGAAATTACAATGTTCAAATTTACAATGTTGCTCATATATATTGAATGTTAACATTTACCATTTCAGCATCATATCAACAGTCCCTTCCCTTTGCATATCCTTTTAGATATCTGAAGCTAGAATATTGCTGTCCAGATTCTTGCAATTACTGGATCAGCTGAAAAGGAAGAGAGAAGAGGCATCGGATTCTCTGATGAAGGAAACAGATGGAAGGAAATGGTCTCATCTCTGCAAAGAAATGGAAAAGCAAGCGGTAAGCTAGATTCAATGAGGATACTGTTATTGTTTCTATTACTTGAAATATTATAGTACTGCACAATTATGAAGCTGTTGGAACCCCAAAAATAGTTCAACTTATGCAAAATGTAGGAATTTATGAAGTGTAAATAACACATGTCTTGCGTAGTTTGGATTAAAACAATAATTTCACTTGGGGGAAAATTTTGCTGTGCAAATTCGAGCTATGCACAGTAAACTGTACAGATTTTTTATTTTTTTTATTTTTTAAACATCACTTTATTGTTCAAACTTGCACAACAAAGGAGAAGATACAATAGCCCAGGATAATTCCATTTTACTGGAATATGCAGATTCTGTCAGTGCCAGGCAATGAAGAGAGGCGGGCAATAGAAAGAAAATATAAGACTGGTTATTACAAGGTGTATTATTTGTGTGTGAGTAACGAATCCCTTACATACTTGAAATGCGAAGGGTAATTTTGGTTTCCCATTTATTGGCATTCTTTGAGTAGTAGATAACAAATATTGATGTGCAAATGGGCAGTGTAATTTACAAGTGGAACTATGCTAATTTCTGCCGATTGTATCACATTCTGATTAAATGCATCGAGAAAGGAATAGATAAGATATTTGATGTACCAGCTGTCTTCAATTATTTTATCTACCTCAGGAAGACTTGTCAAAGCTAGATTCAAGAATAAGCCAACCAGAGTTTGTTGAGGGACTCAAGAGCCAAATAGAAAAGAAAAGAAGAAAGAGGGTAAGTGCAAGAGGAATTTCAACTTAATTATGATATCACCAAAAGGGGTGATAACCATATATGACAGTATATTCTAATGTCAAATTACATGGGTATTTTATTACTATCTTTCATTTCATTGTCATGTTGCTTTGAAAACAGATTCTGTTATTAATTGAAATTTTAAAAAACATGCATTTACTTAAAGACATCATTTAAAAATGTTAAATCTAAGATGCACGGCCCTACGTGTTATAAATGTCTTTGATATGGTGTAATATTGAATGTGGAAGGGTAATGAATCTTCCTTGGTACCGGTAGTCACTATGGTACATGTAGGTGTTTTTGTTTATTAAAGTAGATGAGAATGGTAAACGTTTGGAAAATATGTTAGTTGTGGATATGTCAGTGCACCTGCCTTGTTTATTAATTTATCAGGAAAGATACAAGAGGCATCGTCTAGGAGAATGGGAGATAGGAGAAGAGGCACTCAGAAAGCGGAATGAGAAAATAGATGCCTCGATGGCTGCAGCGCTTCACGCTAAACAAGAAAAGGAACAAGTAAGCATTGTTTTGAGTGTAGATTCTTGACGTTTAAATCAAATCTCAAATTCTGTATTTATGTGTTGTGGTCCAGTGGATAATTCTCTGGACAGTGAACCACATGGTATGAGGTTCAAACCTGTACCGCAGCAGTAATGTCCTTTTACAAGACATTATTCTACAACACTTGACCCAGGTGAAGGTAATGGGAACCTGGCAGGAATTCATTCCTTAAAATTCTGGAGTGCTGTATAAATGGCAGCCTTGCTAAAGTGACAATGTGCCAAACATGAGTGTAAGGCCTAAACAAACAAAAATCTTGAAATCTACAGTCGGCTTTAAAACTGATAAATATCAGCCCAAAGAGGGAGAAGAAAAAAAAAGTTTAAAAAAGAAAAGATTTCCGTCCGACCGACCTATGTTTTGGGACCTAAAGGGCAACACAACATCTTTTTTTTTTAAGGCCTTATACAAGAATCTACTATTTATTAATGGTGTTATAAAGGAATCTGTCATTAAGTCGATGAAGAATGTCAAATTCAACTCCTTTTCTTTTTCACCCAGGAAGAGGAACTGCAAAAAGAAGTTGACCAGGTCCTGTCTGAGGTTCATAAAAAGAAACAAGATGCCAACAAGACGATGGAACTATTCAGAGCTCTCCGTAAACTGAGACAACTCAGAAAAGAGTCTGCTGAAAAAGGAGGTTCGTCTTTTGTCATCTTCGTGACAAGTTATCATATTGAGCTCAATTGTAATATATTATCATGTTGATTTGTAAACATGTTCCTAGATCTTGTCTTTATTATGCTGCATTAATCTTATCCAAAATGTTTGAATCACAAATATATTATGGTCACTGTAGTATATCACTGTTCTTGTATCCTTCACATTTTAATGGAACATTGGGAAAAAAATCATGCAATCCTCATTTATTGTGTTATTTAAAGTCGTGTACAGTATAAGGGGTCTGTAAAATTACCAGTCAAAAAGTGAACTTATAAACTGGTTGTTCTTTTTACTGATTTATGTTACATGTTATTAAATGTAAACAAAATTAAATGGTTCTTAGGTCAATTGTGGGTATAATGTACTTTGATTATCATGTATATTGTATAAAGTGTTCTGAGTCTAAACTGAATAGTCCTTGCTAAAACAAACCATTCATATTTCAGCCTCTCGCTGCAAAGAACATTCACATCTTCCGATATTGGAACCATTTTATTATCTCTTTAATATTCAAGTATGCCTTCTTTATATTTTAACTGTAGCAGAGATGCCAACCCTCCCGATTTCATCGGGAGGCTCCCGATAATTCACCCCAACTCCCGACCTTACGATTTCCATCCTTATCCTCCCGATTTAAAAAAAAAAAAAAAAAAAAACGTAGCAAAGTAGCAAAAGATTTTTTTAGCATATGGATTGCTGTAACCAATGCGTGGATATTGACACAGAATCCAAATGGCGGAAAATCAGCAAAAGAAGACCAAGAAATGGTCTCAGAAGTATAAGACCGAAACAGTATCAAGTACCCGTGTATTCGGAAGTCTGAAAGGAATTCATCATGCATTTTGTACAATTTGTAATTAATTTTTTTAAAAAGTGGAAATTATTTAACTAAATACACATGTAAAATGCTGCGAAATAAGGCTCAGATTGCACCAGAGATCATCTAGAACCCCAGAGCATCCAGGGCCCTAAAGCAGGCCCTGGACCCCGGCCGCATGGGTCGGGCGCTATGCGCTCGACATGTGCGCTACGCGCACATTATGTGGTGTCGGTTACAAATCCTCCCTATTTCTGTTTTCCAAAAGTTGGCATCGCTGCTGTAGTCGGATACAAAGCTGCAAGAGTTTTAGACGAGAGGTTCAACAAGAAGATGTCTATCTTGGAGGAAATGATGAATAAACAAAAACTTCTCTACATTGAAGAAGAGAAAGCACTTCAGGTAAGTCAGAAACAAATAATTCACAAATTATAGGCTTTGTATTTGAAGTTGGCCGGTACTTTAAAAGAGTATTTATTTTCCCCTCTATTCATTGAACTTTCAATCATGAATAAGAATTGAATATATACATGTGTATATACATAATATTGAATTTATAGTCTTTATGAAGATTATAAATGCTATTCATGGTTTTCCTTTTTCGTGCTTGTTCATGGTTGTGTAGTTTGCTGGGTAGACCTTTTTCATTTTACTGCCAAAATTTGGTTGCTTGAGCATGTGTCACATCCTAGTGATTTTTCCCCCTTTTTTCTCCCTTTTTCATTTTTTTTGGGGGGCCTTTATGTTGGGGAAGGGAGGGGGGGTAGATCAGTTAAAAGATATCCACTGTAAGGGGGGGGGAAAGCTGCTAGACCATGTAGAAGCATCAGTCTTCAGGGTAATATCCAACATGCATTCATTTCTTTTCTAGGTGATGTTAGAAGAAGAACATGAAGAGACAAGAGAGAAAGCAAGACAGAAGAAAGAACTGAAGGAACGACAGAAGGCAGAGAGAGCATGGGAAGAACAGCTAGAGTTACTCTTTGGAAAAAGTAAGATGCTGGAGAAAAATAAACTAGTGCTGAGATTTAATCGAAGTTATTCAATCTGGTTTAGTACATTGTATCATGTGAAAATCCTGTTAGTCAATTGTATGTGTGCTGGTAGGTGTTCTGATATTTGCTCTGGCAACATTTGTAAAGCTTTATTTTTGTTAACGATAAAGTGTCAGAGCTGAATTTGTAGGCAGGGCTCGACTTTATCGGGAGCCCGGTGGCCATTGAACCCCTGCGGGCTCCCTGAAAAAGTGCTTGAGGAGCCCGGCTGGCTCCCTAAGTTTTTCTAGTATCAGCCACAAAAAATGCTGTTTCTTACCAGCACTTTAATCCATGTTTTAATCCATCTAAAAACCCAAATTCCGCAGTCAAAATCATGAAATATGCGCTAGGCATTCCAAGGCACACTTGGCTCAACTCCAGCGCGAATAATGAGTTGCAAAAGAAAACACATCGAGATCAGTGCAGGAATGCCATGCATGATAACGTTATATCTCCGCACTCGTAACGAGTGCGCAATACATGCTGCATTGTATGTCGGTGCACTCAGAGAATGTACACACTAAGACAAACGCACGTGGTCGCTGCGTTGCCAGAGCTGAGTGTATGTTTACGTCGACTCGTGTTTGTGATACATGTGCGTTTGTGATCGTGAGTGCTTATTCTTCAGCGTGCGTACCTGGATGGACTTGATTATTGTTTGAACATAATTTTACGAACTACAAACTTCAAAGGCGTGTGTAAAAAGGGGTTGATTGTTGTTTTGTGAACATATGTACGAATTAGGGAGATTCGTGGCTAATCGTTAAAACGGCGTGTATAAACGGTCAAAGGGACTGAAAAGAATAAAATATGGAATAAAAAAGTTTGACTTGAATGTCGTTGGACTAACTTAACGGCAATCAATAAATGAATTGATTATTTCTTTCATATGTTTTCGCAAGGTTTGTGTACTACTATAAACTGTTGTGTGTTTTTTTCTTACAGTTTATGTATTTCACAAAATGTTTTTATTGTAAACTGAAAGTAATTTAGCCTTGAAGCCTTCCATGGGTTGGCTGTCATATAGTAATACGTCATTTGATTAATTAAAAAAAAAAAAAGTATTTGACTATTTCAATCACGTTTCGTCTGCTATTACGACTGAGCTTTTATTTGCAAGATTTCATTCATGAAAACAGTGAGTCACGTCGACACTTTCAACATAGTGCCTGTGTTGTTTGGTAACGATTGCATGAGAAATATAATCAATGGTATGTTCGCGCGGTCATTGAGCCCCCAGGGCATTCCCAGTGGCTGAATTAATGTAAACAAAGATGTCACTGAGAATTTATAGATTGAATTTGGCTGCATGACCTCCAGAAATTGCCGCGGGAACGGATTTATTAAACACAATCATAGTGTGAGTCGCCACCCTAAATAAATGGGTCTGATCCAGGGGGTCCGGTAGGATATCGAGCTGTCCCCTAGTTAGCTAAATTTAGATACTGGTGTTTTAATGGTACCGTTCTGTCCATACAGTTTGAGCCTCCAGATTTACTATATTAGGACATTAAAATTTGTAGATTTAATATTTTTCTTTCTTTTCTTTTCTTTTCTTCTTTTTTTTTTTCCTTTTTTAAAAAACTTTTTGTTTAGTTATCACTCACTGCCCCCTCTTCCCGGCTCACTATTTTTTTTGTAGGCTTAGTGTATGATTCTAGTATTAATTACTGAGTGATAATGGGTCAAGGGACCCTAAATGAAAAAGGGGGATAAACAACCGATTCATGATGGATGGTAGTCGGTTCATAATAATACATCCCTCCCTGGACCCGGCGCTGATGATTATAAAAAAAGGTATCGTGACGGTGTGTTTTAATTTTTTAATAGTTAATGACCATTATTATGACCACAACAAAAACGTGATAAACTTGGGCTCCCTGAAACCCCTGCGGGCTCCCTGAAAAAGAGCTTGAGGAGCCCGGCTGGCTCCCTAAAAAAAAAGTAAAGGTCAGGCCCTGGTAGGGTATATTTTGGGTCTGGATCAGGTCAAATGTGGGGTCCAGGGTTCAAGTTAGAACGTATATTAGCACGACTGCTGAGCAAATTTGTCACCAGAAATACTCAGGCAAAGTAATATTTGAAATAGTTATGGAATAAGCGATGAAAGCAGAATAAATAATAACATTTTAGTGAAATAATCTTCTGTTCTGATTTTTCCCCCCTTCTTTTTCAGCTGAAGAGTTGGAACTTGGACATCCATTATTCATGTTCCGACAATTTCACCAGCAGGCTAGTCATGATCTTCAATCTCTCACTAATATAAGGTTAGTATTTTTATCAATAAGTGCATAACAAGCTAACTGAGTAAAGAAACTGAAAATGCTGATATAAGTTTGTTGATTGATGGAGAGTGAAAAGCTACTTGAACGTAGGCCTAAATGTTGTTATACAGATCACACATGACATTGTAGTTGTGTAATGAGAAATAACTCTTTCATAGATAATCTTTTTCTTCTGTGCTTTACTTTTCAACACCCTTTGAAAGAAGTCAAACGGATATGGTAGGTTGTATGTTTATCATGCACAGGTCATCATTATAGATTATGACGGCTACGTTAATGAAGATAAACGAATCTTATGTAGTTGTATAATGGGAAATGACTCTCTCTTAGATAATCTTGCTTTACTCTGTACATTATACTTGTTTAACAAATGTCTATATTACCATATCAAACTTTGGGTTTTAGTCATCTTTTATTTTTGATAATTTAAATATTTTGGGTGAATTCAGTTTTTTGTCATGATTGCATTATTTTGGAATAAACACTGATATTTACATTTTCTTTTCTCTTTCTGTATCATGATGCAGATGCCAGTGGGATATGTTTGTTGCTTCAGAATCAGATCCAGCTGGGTCTAGTATTCCAGTGTCATGGGTCATGCCCTCTGACCCCTTGAATCACATCTGGGCAACGGCGATGGTGGATTCCTCTGGCACCTGACAACAAAAGACAATGTCAAAAGTCATGCCCTCTGACCCCTTGAATCACATCTGGGCAACAGCGATGGTGGATTCCTCTGGCACCTGATAACAAGAGATAATGTCAAAGGTCATGCCCCCTTACCTAGCAATCATATCTAGGCAAGAGCTGAGTTCATGACCTGAGCCCTCTGACTTAGCAATAACTTCTTTGCAACTGCAGTGGTAAATTCTCTCCCAACAGCTTGAGATTAGCCAAACAGATACTCATGTGTTTATATGGAGAGATCGCTGTAGATATTCCTGGCAGGTCCAAGATCCAATGTTAAAGGTTTGTCATGTGACCTTTCAATTTACCTCTAGGTACCAGTACTGCCAGGAAACACAACCCTGAGCTCCTAATAGCAAATGGCAATACTGAAGATCATGCTATGTGACCCAATAGATCATTTCTTTGTGATAGTGTGCGGGTAAGCCTGTATCCGATGACCGGGGTAATAATATGATTGCAGGGCCCTCAGGGAGAACAGTATGAATACTGATAAGGCTACCCTGGGTAAACGAGACATATTATTATTATTATTATTATTATAGTGATGTGTTTCAAATTGTCACCTTTGAAATCTGACCAAAGCAATAAAGAGATTGAATATTCGTCAAAGAATATTGCGTTATAAACATGAGATAAATGCATTTAGGTCAAATCCATACCATTTGAATATAGAAAAAACAACATGTAGTCATGAGGTCAAGTACATCTCAGCTAATTTACTGGGCAGGCCTTTTTCCCCCCTTTATAATCGAAAGGAAATTTGAATGGATGCCCTTTTTAAAAATTGTTTAAAGCCATGATTTTCCAAAAGAAGGTAAACACAGGGGTTATATCGAGGGATTTGGGATCTGCTTAGTTACGATGACGGCAAAATCACCTGAGTTTTTAAAATTGTATTTGTAGTTCTGCCCTTGATAAAGCTAGGACTGTTTAATGTAAAAGCAGTTAAAGAAAACAAGAGTGAGACATGCAGTTTGTAGATAATATTTTCATTAATAAAACCTGGAAATGGTGCAACAAATTCTTATTGTGTGTTGCATCCTATTATTTTGTACGTGTCCTTCAAGTCAACCATCATGAATAATGGTTGAGAACTAATTATCACATTGGTCAAGATGTTTAATTTTGGATCCTCTTTGAACTCTTCTTAAAATAGGGTTGTTGTTTGACCATTGCATTATAAACCAGTTTGTAATTAATTAATTAATTAATTAAAGTCCGAACACGATCAGAAACTGTCATTTGATTATTTCTCATCAATATTCATACTTCTTAAATGAAAGCATGTGTATATGTATGTGCCAATGGTGAATTTGTATCATCATGGAGAAGTACTTCATTTAAAGAGAAGGAAAACATGATGAAACAGAGTACAGCTCCATCACTATCACGATGGTTGTTCTGAAATGCAGAGAGGGACTCTTTTATTGGTTTCAAAACTATTTCATTATTCAATGCAGGTGTCATTTTGGGGATGAGCTAATTTGCTACAAACTGGTCTGTTATGGGTCATTCCTTGTGGTTGTTTATGGCTTTAGATTTAGATCAAGCCAATTTTACAAAACATACTAATTTTTCACTGACTAAATATGCGATGTGTCCAGGAATAGACTGAAAAAAGCAGAGAGTAAAAGAGAGATTGAGAGAGAGAGAGAGAGAGATAAAAGTAGAAAATGGAATACAGAAGAATCATGTGAACATGAATAATAATTGAACAATTGTTGGAGACGGACCTTCAGATTCAATTCTAAGGATGAATAACTTGATACAAACTTCTCTTTGATTGCTTCATGTAGTATCATTTTATTTCTCATATTTACCTGTCTATACATATAATTTACAGAACCTTAAGTCATATTTACAAAGTAATGAAATAGTATGGAAAATTATACAGAAATCAAGTTAAAACTAAGCAACATTCTGCAATAAACAAAAGAATTTCAATATACAAAGTATACAATTGTACAAGACGAAGCATAAAATGAAATAAAATTTACACAATAAATAAATATGGACCTCTGGAAAACTGATCTTCTCAAACCAAGAGGGTACACTGTCTGCACTAGATAATGCTGACCAACCTAGTAATGCATTTAAATGTAATGCATACTCCTTAGTAGTAAAGATTGACAACCTAAAAGCTGATTTGGGTCAACTGTAAAAAAGCTGTCGCGTTTCCATTGTTTACCGGTATCCAGATTGTAGAGTAGACCTTTGGACAATTCACTCAATTAGAGTGCAAGTCTGTATATTTTGTGATGCGAATGAAGTATGAAATTGCCCTCTGTTATTCATTAATTTACATTTGAGATCTACAATTTATGATAAGCTGGCCAATTGCCCTTTAAAAAAAAGATTCATATAAGACATTTCAAAACTGTTGGTCGCAAATCTTCCACATAAACATCAACAGCCTAGTAGTAGCATTTAACCATCAAAGGAACTTGCATATATATGCATGAATTTTGATGTTAAAGGAAACCTCATCCCAAAGAATAAGTGTATGTATTCTGAAAAATGAGATGTATTCCAAACCTTTGATGTACAAAATTCCTTACGAAAATATACAGGAGATATATAAATGAAGATGTTCTCTTTCATACACTTTGGTGGGGAATCTTGTAGATTAATGGGCAAAAATATAATAAATCTCCCAGATATTAATTAAAGTTATTTCTTGGGGTGATGTTTCCCTTTAAGGAAGAAACTCTTTATCTTTTAAGCTTGAATGCATAAGATTTAGTAATAGTTGATGACTACATCACAACAACATTGCTTCCGTCTATCACACAGGGATCGTTAAAGTCATACAATAAAACAAAACTAAACCAGATACAGTTGAATAAAAGCAAGGATGAGTTTCATAACGCATCTATTACAACACTCGTATCAGTCTCTAATTTAAAAGATTATTCACGCACAACCAGTTGAAAGTAAATACTTATCTTTCATTTTTTATACAAATCCACGCTTTCACTCCGGCAATCGTCTATTAGTTTGAAACGGTGCATTATTACAATTCGAGGCAAGTTCCGCATCATTAGTCAGGCTCAAATTAATGAAAAATGTGCTTGTAGCATTATTACTACTAATGATAGTTTTGGTGGCTTTTTGTAAAGCACTAGCGTCCATCAAGCCTTCATGGTCCTTGCGCTCCAGCATTATTACCAGAGATGCCAACTTTTGGAAATCAGAAATAGGGAGGATTTGTAATCGACACCAATTAATGTGCGCGTAGCGCACATCTCGAGCGCGTAGCGCCCGACACATGCGGCCGGGGTCCAGGGCCCGCCTTAGGGCCCTGGAAGCTCTGGGGTTCTAGATGCTCTCTGGTGCAATCTGAGCCTTATTTTGGAGCATTTTACATGTGTATTTAGTTAAATAATTCCCCCTTTTTTTTTAAATAACATAAAAATTGTACAAAATGCATGATGAATTACTTTCAGACTTCCGATTACACAGGTACTTGATACTGTATTCGGTCTTATACTTCCGAGACCATTTCCTGGTCTTATTTTGCTGATTTTCCGCCATTTGGATTCTGTGGCAATATCCACGCATTGGTTACGGCGATCCATATGCTGAAACAATCTTTCGCTACTCTTAATTTGTCTTTTAACATAGTGGAATTATTACATGCTTAAGTTAGCAGATGATATTTCTCTTTCAATTCACAGATATATATACTGATAAGCGCCCTCCAAAAAAAATCATAATAAAAAAAAAAAAAAAAAAAAAAAAAAAAAAAAAAAAAAAAAAAAAAAAAAAAAAATCATTTTTTTTTTTTTTTTTTTTTAATAAATCGGGAGGATAAGGATGGTGATCGTAAGGTCGGGAGTTGGGGTGAATTATCGGGAGCCTCCCGATAAAATCGGGAGGGTTGGCATCTCTGTATTACCCGGTCTCAGGTACCCATGTGCACTTGGGTAGAGAGTAGCAAATGTGGAATAAAGTCTTGCCACAGGATGAAAGTGCTGGGCTGTGTTTTGAACCCTCAAACCTTGGATCGAGAGTCAAGTGAATGAACCACTCTACCACTACAAATGGCTTCACAAACATGTCAGGTCTGATAAATATAGTGTATGTCCATGTACTGGCTATTACACGATCATCGACCAGCACTTTTAACAATAATAATAGTACAGTACAACCTGCATATAAAGACCGCTCAAGGGAGACATGAAAAGTGGACTTTGAGGCAAGTGGTCGATATGTACAGGTGGTAGCTAAAGCAGGTTTGACTGTAATAGATTATATTTGTACGGCACTTAATACAAAAAGTCTCCAAGTGGTTTCTTCTGTTTGCACAAAAATCATATTTTCTTTTAATAATGCATTAATTTTACTTCTGTCCTCCTTGACATAGACCTCAGTAATGTTCTTTTCAACCACAAATAGATATAAAGCACACAACAATTACACATGTACGGTACGCAGCATTGGTATAGTGTCAACTCAAAGTTAATTTGAAACGGTAAGAACCACTAGTGAATAAATCCAAAGATAAATCCTGTACAAATTCTACCGAAGAAGATATTGAGAGAAGACACTGGACAAGGGTATATAGTGAACCAGTGCAAACTACATGAAAGGACTATATGATGTATACACCTTTTGCCGGCATCCACCATGTACATTATGAGTTGTGACACATTACATGTACTGGTAGATCAAAATGAGTGCCCAAGATTAAAAAGTTCTGTAGTAGCATGTGCATGTTTTTTTACGAGAACTCACAAAAGAAGATATGTTTTCACTCAAATAATATTAATGCAGTGAGTGCCACAATTCCTCACATAAAGTGTTTTATCGAAAATGCCATCAGAGAAATGATACTACCAATTATTAAAGAGGAGCCTTTAACAGTCTGTAATAAGTACATATACCACTTGTAGAGTATTAAGCACAAGTACTGTTATGACCTTGGGCAGTCGTGGTATTTATAACTAGCTTGATCAGCATGAATGTTGAGGAAAGCATTATAATTTTTTTTTGATGTATTGTATGCATATATGTGTATTTGAAAAGTTGTGACATATGTTACAAAATTGCAATACAAACCAAGCAACCATATAATCTAAATGCAAACGTGCTCATCATGATTGATGCTGTGTTGAATTCATCAGTTCACGTTGATCAAAATGTGTAACTTAAACTGTACAACATTGTGTTTTTTCTCATAATAACAATGGTAACAAGTACACTGAGCATGTAGAGGGGACAAATAGGCACCTTTGTACATTAGCATATATGACCAAGAAAGGTTAATGATACGGAGGCAAGATGATGAGACTGAAGATGCGGCCGTTGCTATACTCTTCATTACAAAGCTATCCAGCATTGTGAATGAGCCATAAACTGCCTACAACAATGTCCTCTACAATAAGAGTTAGTGATTCTATAAATAGATTACAGCTAAATAGTAGACAGTTTATATATATATATATATCTATGAAATCCTTCTGAAATAGGTGATGAAAAGTAAGATAAGGATAGAAAATAAAGAATTTGATTAACAAAAACATGTATGTATAAATATGTAAATGTAATAACAAAGTTTTACAAGAACACGTATCATGTTAAAATATTGAATTTAAATGTATGTAAAATTTGTAATAATATCAAGAAATATGTAACACAATAAATATCAGAGAATATTAACTGAAGAACAATTCAAACAAATAACAACAAAAAATATGATAGAAATTAAGTTTTTTTTTTTAAAGAGTAGGCATAGAAAAAATCAACCTCAAAACTATCACAAATCTCAGAAATTACCCCCAACAAAAAATTATACCACCTCTTCAAAACAACATTAAAAAGTTGATGATTAATACTTGGCTTAAATCAAGTGAAGAGGTGTTTATTAATACACCTGAAATTAAATCATCAATCCTTGTCACAACAATTCTGATGTTTTCTGATCAAATATCATTCAATTTCAGCACTAGTTCTGAACTTAAATTGTGAATGACCTTAAATTGTGAATGACCTTAAATGCAAACAGTTAAGGCTTCTATAAATTGTTGAACATGTTGAGATGAATTTAGATATTCTCAGGTAAGTTGTTTATGAATTATTTTGACAAATGTGATGGTACGACTCCATAAATTAGTTTTCTTTCGCATAATGCAATAAAAAAAGTTAATTTATTATGATTAGAATCATAAAATCAGATGAGGTGGTATACAAACTGTCACTAATTATTAAACAACCCCACTTGTAAAATACTCAAATGCATTAATGTACCTTGGATAACAGCAGACATACGCATATCTACAAATGCTGGTTTAAAAGTTCAAAGAAGTGTAGGTTACTGTACAATCCTGGATAATACCAGATCATAGAAGATGGTTAAAAAAAGGTGGTTTATGTTTTTGTCCTTGCATACGATACAGTAAATAATAAACCTGCAATCAGTTATATGTCATATAAACAGGCATAAAATGGTGACATAACATTCCAAAGCTATAAAGAACAAAATAAATCATCTCAAATGAAAAGAAAAGAAAAAACCTTGCCATCAAGATCGATTGTGACATCCGAGCATGAAGAATATTACTCATTTCCTTTCAATGCCTTGTGATAAACACATCTTTCAATGTTCCAACGCTGAGAATATATCTTTCAAGAGGATGACGACGAAAACAGGTAAGGTGCTACAGAAGCCATCTGCTAATCATTGCTACTTCCTTCTTTATTGATGAAAAGTTTCAGGTTGACAATGACATAAGCCCTCTACTGCCACAGGCCCACATAGTTCCCAGAAAGACCAGATGGCAATGGACCACCGGCCACAAAGAGCCTGGTCCCAGACTTGTCATACCGGTGGGTGTACACAGCATTAGGATGACTTGACTCACTGAAGAACTGGTGGAAGAGGGAGTCTCGTTGCTGGTGGGTGAAAAAACATTCAAATGTAAATATTAACCATTATGAATAGTGGAAAGATATAGTTGACAGGTGCTTTAGGTGATATATACATTCAAATTTAAATAACGATTATTAATAGTGGAAAGAAATAGACAAGTTGACAGGTGCTTTAGGTGATATATACATTCAAATTTAAATAACAATTATGAATAGTGGAAAGATATGAACTAGTTAACCGGTGCTTTAGGTGATATATACATTCAAATTTAATAACAATTATTAATAGTGGAAAGATATAGACTAGTTGACAGGTGCTTTAGGTGATATATACATTAAAATTTAAATAACAATTATTAATAGTGGACAGATATAAACTAGTTGACAGGTGCTTTAGGTGATATATACATTCAAATTTAATAACAATTATTAATAGTGGACAGATATAAACTAGTTGACAGGTGCTTTAGGTGATATATACATTCAAATTTAATAACAATTATTAATAGTGGACAGATATAAACTAGTTGACAGGTGCTTTAGGTGACATTCAAATTTAATAACAATTATTAATAGTGGACAGATATAAACTAGTTGACAGGTGCTTTAGGTGATATATACATTAAAATTTAAATAACAATTATTAATAGTGGAAAGATATAAACTAGTTAACAGGTGCTTTAGGTGATATATACATTCACATTTAAATAGCAATTGTTAATAGTGGAGAGATATAAACTATTTAAAAAGTGCTTTAGGTAATTAATTGTAACACTAACACTAGATTTTGGGCAATTTAAAAAAAAATCAATTATTTAGATAAGTATTCATTATGAATATAAAATAACATTTCCACATCCATGAATCAGAGCGATTCACTTATTTATTGTTAGCTATGTTACTAGATTTATCTGGATTCATCCAATCTTAGGAATTCCAACAGGATTCCCTTCAGAGGGTTTTCTTAGGTAAGAATATCAGTACTGGGGCTGAAAATCAAGCTTTTAGAAAGTGGGGAGCACAATCCTTGAAAACCATAACATTTCTAAAGGTACACATTATATGATCCATGTTATATCTTCATCAAAGGCTTAGTAATGATTTTGTTTCCTATGTCATAATATCCATGAATGAAAACAAGTTTTGGATTAGTTTCAACTTAATTTTTCCATTTGGGTTACATTCTAATTTATCAAGCACATAAACATGTATCAGTATAAGAAAATAACTCACCAGATACCCTTTTCCAGTGTATAACTTCACAGGCACTGTTTTCCCATCAATGTCACTCTCGATGAAATGACCAGCTCTCAGGTCAAAGAACATGAGAGCCCCTTGACCTGTACCGACCGTCAGGACCCCGTCCATGAAGCTTACTGACCGTACACCTAGATTAGGTATTCATAAACAGAACAGAAAATAGGTGAACATGACCTTTATTTCAAGGGAAATCAATTACAATGACCATGTACAGAGATAAAAGTAATGAAATCTAACTTTTTACATTTTCTTTAAATTGAACAACACCTCTTCCAATATGGCACCATCTAAAATAAATTGGTTATAAATGGACTTTTCTTCCCATGAGTGCAATATATAACATCAGACTGTCTAGATTTTACTTTTACATCACCATATAATCTCCACATCAAATACTCTATACTCTTTTGGCCAGTAATTAATTTGTCTGTTCTCATGTTATTGTGATACAAAGAAATATGAAAAATAGCTGGTAACCAAGTTGGTCACTTTCAAAGGTATTGAGGCAAACTCTACCATGATGATCAAGAATTGAGATAGTGATACTACTATGACTGAGTGGATAGGCATCCCATATTGATCAGATGTGGATTAACTCAACTCATTGAGCAAAACAGGTCTGGGGGGGGGGGGGGTGTTTCATAAAGCTGTGCATAAATTTACAAATGACTTTACAAATGATTCGAATTTGAAGAGCCAAATGGGATGCCCAAAGTTTTTCCTGACATTTTAACAAAGTGTTACTGTATTTCCCATAATCTCAATTAAATTGTAGCCAAAATACACTTTGCATTAAAATGTTTTGTTAATAATGATATTATGATAAGGTTAATCTACATCTGCATATTTCAACTTTAGCTTATGCAATTCAAAGGATTTGTGAATCCCATTTAGCTCTTCATATTCAAGTCATTCGTAAAGTCATGCATAACTTTATGCACAGCTTTATGAAACATCCCCCCCCCCCCCCCCCCCCGATTTGGTACATACCACTGCCCCTCTCTTTTGAATGCACAGATGCCACACATCTACCATTCCTAGAGTCCAGGAAAGTTACGTGAGACTGGGAGCCGACTGCATAAAGAGAGTGGTCTTCTGACAACGAGATACACACATTCTCCTCACAGTATGGCAAGCGTCTGGAATGCAGCTTACGGAATCCTCTCAAGTCCCAAAGGTGAATAAAACCATTGGCCGACAATGAAGCTAATTCCTGGAAAATAAATGAGAATAAAAAAGAACAAAATGTAATCTCCATTTTTTCCCTGAAAAAAACGTTTCAGTTATCACATTATGGAATTCAAACATTTTTACCCCCAATGACTGAAAAACTGCACTTCAATTTATTTTAAATTTAAATTTGAAGAAACCAATGTGCATGTATGGACATCAAACAAAAGAATTCATAGGAGAAGCTGAAAATAGCTGCAAATTCACTCAAATCCATATTAATGTGTTAAAGGGAGTGTAGCCTAACGAGACTATGTGTCTTTCCCGTGGCCTGACTCGGGGGCCGATTGGGTATTATACGACTTCGGATGACACGACCGCAGCAATCACGTGAGTGCAACATACACAAAACCGAAGCGCAAGGAGAACTTCGGTCTGTTTCGCGAACGCTGACCATGTAAAGATTAAGTCGCTGGCTACCTATCAAGTCCATTCGTTTACTTGCAGTTGTCCAAAAGAAGACGTAAATGGCGTTAACCAGTATTTGCCAAGCTACACTCCCTTTAACTACTGTTTAGCACCCTACAATGCATTACGTGAGAGGATTTAACAAATGGAGAATCTGGCATTGGCAGAAAGGAGAGAAAGTAGAGGACTTGAAACAGAAAAAGAGTACTGTTGGAGGACAGTTTGCAGAGATGGCCCGAGTAGAGCTCTAGGAGTGAAAGACCAGGGAAGGGAATTCTTTGCAAAGGCTAGAAACAGGGAGTTGTGGGATAGCATGATCGCAAAAGTCAATAGATATGGCACCTAGAGCGAGAGAGGGAGAGAGAGAGAGAGAGGGACGGAGGGAGGGAGAGAGAGAGAGAGATAAAGAGAGAGAGAGATTCTTTTTTAAAGCTTATCTGTACTAGTTTATAGGAAGGATTAGACCACCCTGCAAGGTCACTGGACAGGCAGTTATCTCATCAACTCAGCTCTTAATTAATATAAGAAAAAGAGGATCATAAAGGACCAATGGTCACCGATTAGGCATTATTTTCTATATAGAGGGAGCAAGTAGCTACAAGTAGAACAGTGTGGCTTTAAGTGCAGCAGTATTAAAGGAATTCATATTCTCACCTTCGTGTGCTGGCTGTACTCCAAGGCTCGTACTTTTTCACTTTTCTCGCTTGAGCGTAGCAAGACTGGGAAGATGGATTCATAAGATGGCACTAGGGTTGTTTCGTTGATGTCTTGTACCCGGTCACACAGGTCTTGGCTGACGGACCAGACAGAAATCTGAGAATCTCTTGAACCTGGTTATTGACAATTTAAGGGTGAGAGATATGGCAAGTTGTTGTACATGTAAGTCTCTGATTTGGCCTTTGGGATGATTAAGGTTAATGTATTATTTCACCTTCAGACTTTACTGGCTGTGGAACATTGCTCTTAACTACTTTTCAAGAACACTTTCAATAGTCCTTTGAACATTAATTGATTGAAGAAAAAAGAAGAACCTGAAAGTGAATTTTAGTGGCTAATTCGTGGCAAGACATCATTGTTGAAAAATGTCACCTTTCATGACATGTATTTCTACATTCAGCTGTAATCATAAAACATTCAAGAATTCTGTTGGAAAAATATGACTGGTGAAGTACTCATGACTTACTCTCCTTCTCACAATGTACAATGTACATTAAACTAAACCCATGCAAGCTGGTTCCAACGAATGTAACTTAATCCAAATCACTCCATTTTATACCCACATTGCATAATTTATGCGCTTAAGGTCCTAAAAGCTGCACAGAAATTAACAAAAGCACACAATTCACGAACCTGCAACTAAGTATTGATCATCTAACCACACTACTGAGAACATCCAGTCGGTATGGCAATTCTGAAGAAAAGAGGTAACATAATAATAGTCAACTAGTTTGTTTAAATTCATGAAGCAGAAATGGAGGGGTGTAAATGTTAAGATGAAAAGTTGAAAATAATTTCACAAGAATTTAGTTTAAATGTTATCCACGCAAGCTCCATCAGTGATCATCCAAATTACACAGATTGCAACTACACTTCAGCACATACATTATCAGAATATGTTCATCAAATTTAATGAAAGGAATGCAACAGTCTACCAATCTTTTGGTAGTCGAAACTAACTTGATAAATTATTGGCACATGAAGGCCTCATACAGTAGCATACCGAGACATGTTGTGTGTCCAGGTTGTGTATTTGGACAGTTGATTTTAAATAGCAATTTGAAGACATTTACAAGAAATATTTCACAGATCTTCAAAGTCTTATAAATGTTGGACAATATTATATGCCAAGGACAAATATTCATGATGGTTAGTGATAAAACATGAATAGTTTCTGTTCAATATGAAGGATAAGGAGAAGTCTTAATGTTTTTTAAGTGTCCAGACACCCACACCACCCCCCCCCCCCCCCCCAACATCATATCCCTTTCCTGCATTCAAGAAAGGATATCATTGATCAGGAGGCTGGCCTGTCATTGAATCAAATAACTTGTTCTTTATATCTTTATCATTTTGTTTTTTCCTAGTGAAGGTCATAAATGACTTGATGGGCAATCATGGTAATGCTTCAAAAGTCAAGAAAAATACAAGCTTGATTTTCATACTCTGTGTAAACAATCTCTTGATGTGCATGTACAGGTACAGGTGGGCCATGAATATTTCTCAACTTACTTGTCCGACGCAGACAGGATCAAACGTGGGTAACCGGTAGATGCCAATGTTATTTGGGTTGTCCGCACCTGTTGCTAGCAGGGTATTACTAGGATTGATAGCTATGCTGTGGATGCCACTGTTGTTTACCGGGAATGTCTCTGGTTTTCTGCTCGGGAGACTACGCAGCATTGGAAGACTACGCAGCATCGGAATGGAGACTTGGTGATTGAGATCCAGGTCTAAGGCTATCAACTGAAGGTGAAGGATTTTCAACAATAGAAACTGACATGGTCAGAGGCTGATGTAAAACGGTACATCAAAGGTTGAAGGAGGAATTGGAAGAGAGAGAAGGGTTGGAGAAAAAGAGGGAGGGAGGGAGTGGGAGAGAGAGAGGGAGTGGGGGAGAGAGAGAGGGAGTGGGGGAGAGAGAGAGGGAGTGGGGGAGAGAGAGGGAGTGGGGGAGAGGGAGAAAGTGGGGGGGGGAGGAAGTGGGGGGAGGGGGGAGGGGGAGGGGGAGGGGGAGGGGGAGGGGGAGGGGGAGGGGGTGACAGCAATGAGACAGACAGACTGGAAGATAAGAAACAAAGAAATCTGGCAACCAATTTGGGGAATTACAACAACTATGCATGGACCTCTATTCTTGACATTTAAATCAAGCTGGAAAACATGGTAACATGAGGTGTAGAGCATCATTCAACTTATTTCAAGTTTGAGCTGGTTTTTAATGGCAAACAATCACCATCACTGATTTATTAATCCACTAGTATAAAGATTAAGGACTCCAAGCAGTAATAACATTACAGGGAAACTGCAGGGTGTTACTCACTCTATTGCACTTGGTTCCAAGGACAACTTGGTGATCTGAAATCCATTCTGAAGCAAATATCTTATTAATTTCTCCAACGTGTACCTCTCTCTCCGAGAGCACATGGGGAAGTCTACGGGTGGTCAGGTTACAGATAACCTTCTTCCGCTGCTTAGCGTGTCCTATTGTTCTGCTTCGTATATGATGGAACACAGAGGCGCTTTCAGGGTCACCTGCCCCCATCCACTCTCCACGATGTCTTTCCGTGAGAGCTGTTGCAGCAGCTTTCCTCGACGCATGGATTGCATCCTCATTTGAATGCATCTCGCTGAGCTTGTGTTTCTTTTTTCCTGGTTACAATAAGGCCTTCAATGTTCACTAGTACTGGTCAGTTCAGGGTGATGTACCGTATATCTTTAATCATGGCGGCATGTCACTACTATGATGGCATTTTTGTAGTAGTCTGTTCCGATGTTTAGAAAAAAGATCTGTAGGAAGAGAAGGTATGAAATTATATTACCTATATTCTACCGTGTGAATCCATCAAGCATTATCCGAGGTCCTGCTAGTCTTCACATCTGTTTGTCTCCCAAGAATGTAGAGCCTGCTTATTATTTGCCAAATATTAATTTGTATAATACCCCATTTTATTTTGTATGTTAACCAGTCACAGGACTATCTGAATGAGAGGCTTTGTCAATATGGGATTCCAATGCCCAACAATTGAAAAAGGTAATAAAACTTTACTACAGTTTGTAGATGAAATTGCACCTCATGAGGGCTTGGGGTCATTTCACGAAACCTTCATAAGTACAAGATCAACAACATCTCGGCGCTGTCACTCGGCTTGTCCGCTAAGTGTTTCACAAAATTTAACTTACAAGAGAATGCCATCTCAAGGCAATTGTAAGTAGGTCTACATGTATGGGCAGCGAAACAATTGAAAACTGAAATTAATCATCTGATTTAGACCCTATTCTCAAGATCCGCGCCTAGATCATGTAGCTAGCTAGCTTGACGTACGTATCCTCGCACCGTACCATATGCAGCTAACTCGCAGAGGTTTTTTTTTCATCGGCGCTCTGCGGATTTCGGGATGGTCTACCGAACCGCCCGCCGGCGATACTAAAAATGGATTCCGCTTAAGAAAATAACCCTAGTTCAACGTCTTCCCGAAGATTTATCGCTCATATTATGTCTCTTTACACAGTCAATGTAAAATGCATCAAGAAAATCATTGCAGAATCTGTTTTTCTCATCGCCAACATGCCAATAAAAAATATGAAACTTCTGTGAAAATGTGGACGATCCTTATTTTTGAGGACGCATCGGTACGCGCTAATGAAGACAATATGAAGGGGTGGCCAAAGCTCGCGGATATTTTTCTTTTCTTGCACATTACAAAACATCCAGATCAACATATATCGTGTTCCATACGTCATAAGAATCATAATTTAATCAGATTATATAACATTCCAAGGCTGTATTTACTTAAAACCAATGATAAGACGAGAATATCGGAAGTCTTACCACAGCACTATCGATGTCTTTCAAAAAGTTTGCGCATGATATTGACTGCCCTCTTGTGATGGGATATATACATGTAAACATTCCAAAAAGGGACATAGTTTCAATCAGAAGCCAAACTTTATATTGAAACTTTGAAAAAGATAATAATTTCTCTCTATCATTGAAATTTTGCCAGAAAAAAACACCCTTGTTAAATTTTGCAAATAAAAGACACATTTTTTCATTGTTTATGTGTGAATGAGAATGTAGTCCCTATCTGCATGTCATCTGTTTGTTAAAAAAGTTTATCGTGTGTCTCCTTTTTATATGTCAGCCATACACGAGTTCTCGCTCTTTTCTCTCTTTGTCTTTCCACTTTCCCCTTTTAAATTTGTATTCTTACAAAACCCATAGATTCACTGAAATTCACAAACACAGATAGGTCCACGGTGGAAGCAGGCACGCAGGTTCCGTTTTTTTGGCGTAAGAAATTGGAATCTTATCATTATTTTAAATCCCTCTAATAAACTGATTATCATATACAAAAACACAATATAGACCCTACACTTTGTTATGATAAAAAGCGTGAAAAAAGCGTGAAAAAAGCTAGCTTATTCCCATTTTTATGTCGCATTTTGACCTTTAGAGTTGTCGATAGTGCTCAAAGATTTCGTTGTCTCAGTCCCACACAGGCATCGCGTATCGTTCTCCTGTTATAAGCGCTTTTAGTGTTACTGTTAGTAGATCTATGCGAACTTTGGTCACACGCGAACTGTCACAACTCACACTCACAGTCACACCTCCATACGTTTATGCAGACGATCCTTATTCTCGGACTTTCTGAAATAGAAAAGGGGGAATAGTCTACTCCTAATGCCAAACTTCCAAAGGCTTGCAAAGCTTAACTTATATTAAGCTAAGGCTTCTACCAAGCTCAGGATTTTTTTTCCTCCTTTTTTTTTGATGACGTAATTAGCTAGCTGAGTGGAAACCCCCGCCTGCCCTAACCCTGGCCTGGCTTTTGCCAACAGATGTGTGATTAATCAAAACTATCACTGCACTACACAAATCAACACATCATGATCAAGAAAATTACTGTAAAGAAACAAAAATCCTGATTCTTCATCACACATTGACCGTTCATAACTCCACAAACTTACCTCCTGAATTAAAATCAAACCGGCAAAAACGAAATTCACAAGGCTTGTTTACGTTGACTGATGTCGTGAATTATGCGCTCAGCCCAAACGATCGAAAAAGATATCTAATTATAAACGTAGAGGACGCCCCGCAGCTAGCTTTGAAAGTTTAGTGCATGTCCCATATGTTGCACTTTTTGTAGTGATTTTTCTTTCTACATTGTCCGACCCATCATGAATATATATCCAAGCAAGGGAGAATACAAGCACCAATAAAATACATCAAAGTCGAAATGTCTTCATCATATATCTAACGTTTGAATTTAATTCTATGGTCAGAAGTCAGAACCTCCTCTTGATCCTGCTTCGTGATGTGAGTGTGACTGCAAGTTTTACTTTAGTCTCAGACTAGACTCTAGTCTAGATCTAGATCTAGTCTACTCTTCTTAGTTTAGTGTGAGAAGTAGTTTGAGTTTGACTATATTCTATAATAATAATAATAATTAGATAAGATAAGATATTTATTCGTCTTTGTTTCAAATGACGTATAGAGCATAACATTACTCATTACACATTTACAATATGCAAAATAACAAATTATGGCAATGATAAAAACAAAGTGAACTAATTTAATTAAAACGAAAGACGAGGAGACCCTGGTAAAAGCAGAGCTTGTAAGTTTTAGGGTCCCCTCTGCATGAGCCAGATAAACATGATGAGTAGATATTTGTGACTACCTAAGAATACAATAGGGAAAAGGGGTATAAAAAAACAAGAAGTATACACACACAACAACAACAACAACAAAACGAGAGACTAGACAAGACGGTAGAAAAGACTACAGCACATCGACAATAGGCACAATACAACAAGGGGAGGGAATAAGAGGTTGACAATCTGAAAATATTCAGTTAGACACATATTAATATCAAGAAGAAAATTTACATTTATAGTAATATACATCATAGATCTTGGCACCATAATAACTACAAAAATGAACTACTCTATGAGTCACAGCTAGTATTTGTCGAGAAGATAAACCTCAAGTGTACACTTAAATGAAGAGAGACTAACAGATTGCTTAACGCTAGAGCCTAGAGAGTTCCAAAACCTAGGTCTAGTAAAAACCAAAGTATTAATTTGATACAGTGTTTACTCAAAGTTTGTAAACCTGTTTAAATCTTAACCTGGGCCTTAACAGTTAATTGGGCTGATTTTTGTTGGTGTTTGTTTTGATATGATTCTTCTTTGTTATTTGTTCTTTTGTATTTGTTTATATAGAGTCTACTGTCTAGAAGTGTACTTTAAATTATTAAAGTATAGACATAGTGTATAACTCTAATAAAATCTTGTTATACTTAGGTAGATAGAGTACCCTGTCTGTCCTTGGTGCTTTACTATAATCTAGGATTTAGTAGGATTCAGAATATATTCCAGAGATTTAGTCAATATCAAATTCATGTTCCTAGTTGATTAATTAATTCTCACGAACTTTCACTAGACTACTTAATTGTCCCTGATTTCTATTTAGGATATACCATATCTGCAGATTCCTTGATGACCTAGTTTGAATTTTAAGATGTAAGTTTAAACACTTTACGTTATATTGCATTTCCAGATCAGATCATAATTTATGTTGCACAATATGGGTAAACTGTGAGGTATTTAAAACAATGATTTAACAGAATATACACATATTTCTCTCAGTAAAATTCTGGTACAGTTAACATGAAATTGTTATATTGTGTTTGTTTTTCTTTCAGAACGTATTTATTTGGATCAGCAAAAGCCCAGTTGAGATGACACAATGGAAGGTTCATCAGTGAAAAAGCCTGTCATTCTAGATGTGGGAAATTTGTTCACCAAAGTTGGATTTTGTGAGTTGGAGAAAACTTCACCAGACCACATATTTCATTCCCAGGAAGCAGAGAAGATCCCTGACAGGGTGGTTGATCATTCACCTTCTCCATTGATATCAGACAGGACTGTCACTGACTGGGATAGCTTTGAGCAAATTATCCAGCATGCCATATGGACTAAGAGCAAGATCAAAAGCTCCGATCATCCTCTGGTACTCATCGAAAAACCAGGTCTTGAACGTAGCTGTCGTCAAAAGATGGTGGAGTTGGCATTTGAAGGGTTAGATGTGCCGGAATTCTACCTAGCAAGTGAACCTGTAGTGGCACTTTATTCTGTTGGTTTGTCATCAGGGATCGTGTTGTCTTCAAGTTACATGTCATCAAACGTTTCCACGATACATGACGGACACAGGCCCCCATATGGCCTTGTTCATCTAGGTTTTGGGGGAAGGGATGTAACTCAGTATGCAATGGACCTTATTAAAGACGAGTTGGGCAAAGAGATAAGTATTGAGGAGGCTGAGAAATTGAAGTGCTGTCATGGGCAATTTCATGCCAAGGATAGAACTTGCAATCCTGGGCCTGAAAAACTTGAAGAGATTGGACAAAAGATTGCAGAATATGTCTTAAACCCCAAAGGTGATTGTATGGGTAAGTATTCTACAGCAAAGCTTGATGCAATAGAAGTCTGAAGAGAATAGCCCTTCCAAATTATTTGAAAATGAGAAGAGCCTCCTGTTTTTTACACAGGTTTGTATAAAGTAAACTGTAAAGCTCTACATATGACTTTAAAAAGTGACATAAGGTATGAACGAGTAAAATTTCATATTATTTTCATAATCCTTTTAAACTGTTTAGAATTTTACCTTTTTAAGTACTCTATTACTCTATTACACTTCTTTCTTGAGTTTTCATTTTTCCTTTGACTTCTTTAATGTAATGTAACATGACAAACAGAAGAAAAGAGAAAGAGAAAAGTAGCTACATGTACATCATAGATATTGCTTCAAATATTCCACTTTCACAAAACAATCTCTGAGTGTGTGTGATTCTCTTCATTGTATCAACAGGTTTCCACAAGGCGATCCCTCGTAGCATATACCTGACTGATGAAGAAGACGACTATGAACATGTTTATTTTCGTAATATAATGCTCTGCGGCGGCAACAGTCTTTTCCCTGGAATCAAGGAGAAGCTGGAAATTGAAGTAAAGACACCATATTATCTCACATGTGGGGTAAGAACTAAGAAGTATAGACCTATATATGTTTTAAAGTATAATTTCAAATATTTTGAAATTGAAATTGAATTCCTCCAGTCAAAACTTCAAACCAGTGGTCTAAAATCAAGTGAATGTATACCATACCCACAATGGCCACAAAGCCATGTAGGCTTCTCTAACTTTCTCTTTTTCAGGTACTTATAACATGTTATCTTTGTACATTTTGTTTAGGGTAAATGAGAAATAAATGAAATGAAAGAAATAAAATCACTTCACGGTAAACCATTTGAGATTCAATATCATGAGTTGGAAACTGAAATATAAGGAAAGTTAATTCTAACCAGTACACCATTTCTGTTGCAATTAAAGAGAAATATTTTTGACATGATTATACATATGGCTATAGCTTGCATTTGTAGTAGAATATAAATTGTTTAACGCAAGGTAAGTTTGGTGAGATGCCACAAGGTCCAGAAGGCTCATCTGCCCCATTCAAGTAATCGTGGACTTGATATCATGGACCTGAATGCTAAGAGACTGCAATATGTGATTGAATTCAGTCTAAGTCTCAATGGCCACAATACTTGTGTTGTCAAACTTAAAGTAAAGGGACAGATGATCAGGGATTGTTTAATGACACATGTGCATGTATTTTTATTTGAGATAACCTTATCAAATATCAATTATACTTTCTTTCAAGTGTAGAAACATTTAAATAAATAAATATTTTCATTACATTTCATATGTCACAATCTAAAATATATATTGAGAAATATGCAACTATAGTTATAAAAACAGTTGACTGGCATTTTTTTCAGAAACTAGTTGAATGATTTCAAGAAGAAAAAGAAATCTCTGAAATTTTCTGATGTTTATGGTAATGCTATGACACTAGATTGTTCCTTGCTAGACTATATCTGAATGTGTGTGTGTGTGAATCATAATTCTTAGACCCCTTGATTCATGTTGCGTATACATGTTACAATTATCATTATTTTTTTATATTTTTTCTATTAAATATTTTTCATTTTGTAGGTACGTGTGATAGCGCCATCATTCCGACAGCATGCAGCATGGGTAGGAGGCTCAATCGCTGCATCTCTTCCAACTTTCAAATCATTCTGGATAACCAAAGAGGATTATAGCGACTATGGGGAAAACATTTTGCAGAGAAAATGTTTACCATACTAATTACATGAGACATCTTATTTATAAGGGTCTTCAATTCTTTTATTTTTATTATTATTTTTTCTTTTTTTGGGGGGGGGGGGTTGAGGTGCATTTCAAAAAATAATAACTCCACAGATACATCTCTGATCAAGCTGAACAGTGTAAAATGTTGGAGAATGTATTTTGTTAAAAGTAAGTTTTATGAAATCCTTGTAACATGATGAATAAACAGTACTATTAATTTTCAATTCAATCTTTTATTTTGGTCACATTAAGGCCAAGTAGTGCAGTCCCGCTTTAAGAAAATGAGATGAAGACAAATTGAGAAGTGAAGATATAAACAGACATTCTATTTGTCACCCTCTCTCGGCGGCTAGGCAGGCTCGCTACTCTATATACAGATATATTGACTGGCAGGGCCGGGGTGTAATAATATACAAATAATCACTGCCAGGACGATGACTGCTCATGAGGATGATGCATGGTGGAAATTATCACTCCCAAGGTGGTGTTCATTTATCACCCCTGAGGCGAAAATTTCACTCTCAAGGTGAAAGAAATCCAACATAATTTATATGGAAATCCAATCAGGTACTGTGACGGCTCAATGTCGCTACGGGTATTCAAAATGACTGCTATTCATAAGGACCGCTATTCATAATGTGAGAAGAGGGTCGGTATTCATAATGTGAGAAGAGGATCGGTATTCATATTATGAGAAGATATATAGATAGATGAGAAGATATAATATATAGAGACATCCCCATAATCTATAGCCCCTCCCCCTCCCACTGGATCCGCCCGTGGTTTCGCCAAAAAAGGAAACATTTTTATTTCTTTTTTGTTTCCGAAAAATTTAAA